GGCCCAGAATCGGTCGATGTTGAACGATCGGACGTTGCGGAGACGGCCGATCGTTCCAGGTTGAACGATCCAGCGCGGCGTCAAAAACCAACGCCGGGGTCGGCACGACACGAACCTGCCGTAGGACAGCTGACGTGGGGGGGGGGCAGTGCGAGGCGGGGGCTCGTCGTTGGATCCTCTGGGGCCTCGGCAGGCGGCGGCCTCCTCCTCCTCCTCCTCCTCCTCCTCCTCCTCCTCCTCCTCCTCCTCCTCCTCCTCCTCCTCCTCCTCCTCCTCCTCCTCCTCCTCCTCCTCCTCCTCCTCCTCCTCCTCCTCCTCTCGCACTGGTTTGGGCGCACCGCGCCTAACCCTTCCACGACACGCCGGCCCGGCGCGCTGCGGCTCGGCGGCCCCTCCGCGCCTGCGGCTCCCCGCCCCCTCCGCGCCGCGCCCGCGAGGCCGCCCCGGGCCCGCCGCGGCCTCCGCCGGGGACCGCCCCCGCCCCGCCCGCGGGCCGCCAAGGGGCACGATCGCAACGGGTAGGGAGAGCATGGGCACCCAGACCCAAAGACCCATGGATCCAAGGTATTGCAAAAATCACGACGGGCGTTTTTCACAATTTCCGGCCTCTAGGGGCCTTCACCGGGTCCCAGGACCGTCCAAAAACGGCTCAGGAGGAAAATCCGGTGCTGAGGAATGGGTCGACCCTTCCGGGGACCCCGTATTGAGAAAATCACGACTTCAGATACCTGGGGACCCAGACATGATCGCGTCGTTAAAAAATCAGGAGGGGAGGTATTTGGCTATTGTCGGCCCCGGGGGGCCCTCGCCGGGCCTCGGGACCGTCACAAAACGATGCAGGACGAAAAACTGGTCCCGGGGAAAATGGTCGGGACTTCCAGACAGGCCGCTCTGAGAAAAGTCAGGACGTCGCATGTCTGGGGAGATCCGATGTCGCAACTTTTCCCACACGAAGACGACTCAGGACGAAGAGCCGGTGCTGGGGAAGGGGTCGAGACATTGGGGGACCCGTATCGAAAAAATCACGACATCGGATCTCTGGGGAAGACCGACAGCAGGTCTTGCCCATCTTGAGCAGGGCTCGCAGTCGGTGTGGCCGCGGGCGGTGGCCGCTCGCGACGGAAAGTGCCTGCCCTTTTCAGCGGCCGTTGCCGGCTGTTGACAGCACCTGCTGTTCGGCATGGGGCCCATCTCTGCAGCACCCACGTCGGCCGTGCCAAGCCAGAAGCCGCCACGCTGGGGTCGGCTGGGGGAGCGATCGGCGTCGCGTCAGAGTTGAGAGTGAACCTTCGCCAGAGTGACGTGTTGGTGTGGGCCCACAAGGGCCCCCCCCAGCACTCGCCCGCGCGCTTGGATTTGGCGTGGCCACGGCCCCCTGAAGCCGCACACCTGGGGCCATTCTTGCCTAGGGTTTCGTCGGGCACGTCCCACTACAGGAAGAATATCCAATAATAGTCAAAACAACAAACAAAAGTATGGGGACTGTGGATTAGCTATTTTTGATTATTTTTTCCGATAAGTTTTTGAATGCTTGTTTGTCCTCCCAAATTCCGCCTGTAGGGGCACACGGCCGACCTAAGCCTAGGGTTACTCTTCGGTGTAGTCGACCCGAGGTGGTCGAGCGGCCGCTTCTCGACAGGCCGCCCCCCCATCCGGGGGGAGTGCCCGGCTCGCGGCCCCCCCGCCCGTGGCTTCTGGCGCGGCCAGCCCGCCGGGGAGGCAGAGGCACATGTGTGGAACATATCTAGGCGGAGGCTCCTCGCAGCTGGCAGCTTGCCCTGGGATCCTGGCGTTGCGTGATGATGTCCCAACCTACCTTAGCCTTGATGGCCAGGAAGAGTTGCGAGCACCGAGCGAGTACCGAAACTGGAGCGTGTTCACGTGTCGGGCCCTGGGAGGCGACACTCGTTCGACACTGTTTCGACACTCTTCTGGGTGCTCGAAATGAGTTCTGGGACGTGATCCTTGAGCACGATGGGAAAAACACAAGCGCTGCCGTTTTTCTCACACCGCGAGGGAGTCTGGGGGGGCCGCAGTCGCCGCCGGTAATCTGGACCCCCCAGGAGCCCGCCAGCGAGGCGGTGCCGCCCGCCACGGTGCCTGCGCCCGCGCCGGGGCCCGCGGCCGCGGCGCCGGCAGCTCCGCCGGCGGCCGCGCCTGCGGCCGCGTTGGCCGAGCGCTCGGGCGGCTCCACCTGATCGGGCTCGGCGAGCCTTGAGATCCAGGGGGTCCGGCGCTCCGAAAAACCTGCAGCGGTGAGGTGTTGGCGCAGTGTTCGGCCTTCGGGGGCCCAGGGCCGGGCCTCGGGGGCGTCGAAGAGAATTTTCGGGACGAGAAGCGGGTTCCGGGGACGAAGACCGGTTCGGTTCCTGGGGCTCACGCGTCGAAAGAATTGGAGCAGCCCGATGTCTGGTATCCTGGCGTTGCAGTGTTTTGCACCGTGCGTGATCGCTCATTGCACGGGCCCTGGGACCCTCACAGATCGATCCGGCTCGAATAATGACGCAGAATGATTGGGTCTGGGGATATGGTCGTGATTTTCCGACGTTGCATGTCATGACATAAACATAGAAACTCGAAGGTCCGCGCTGATTTTTCGGATCGGCGCTGGGGCCGCCTGGCGGCGCCTCCGGCGCCGCCTCTGGCGCGCTCCGCGCGCCAGGGAGGGGGGTCGAGCGCCGATCTGAGAAATCCGCGCGGACCTCCGAGTTCTTATGTTTAAAGTATTGTTCTTTCCTCTGTAGACGCGCAGGAGCCTGGGCGTCCCAGGGTGCCCAGGTGGTTCTGGGAGCCCGAACGCAGCGTAATTTACTAGGGAGCGCGGCCCTGGGAGTGCGGACACAGCGCAATTCACAAGGGAGCGCGGCCCTGGGAGCGCGGACGCAGCGTAATTTATCATAAGTCCTGGCCTTGGGGGGGCGGACACAGTGCAATGTATTGGGGAACGTGGCCCTGGGAGACGCAGACACAGCGCAATTCACAAGGGAGCGCGGCCCTGGGAGCGCGGACGCAGCGTAATTTATCATAAATGCTGGCCCTGGGCGGACGCGGCGTAATTCACGAGGCAACGTGGCCTTGGGAGCGCGGACGCAGCGTAATTCACGAGGGAGCGCTGCCCTGGGGGCGCGGACGCAGGGTAGTTTACGATGGATCGTGGCCGTGGGAGCGCGGACGCAGCGTAATTTACAAAGGATGGTGGCCCTGGGGGGCTGACACAGAGTAATTTAGTCGGGAGCGTGGCCCTGGGAGCGCGGACACATTGTAATTGACCATGGATCGTGGCCCTGGGAGCGCGGACGCGGCGTAGTTTACGTGGGATCGTGGCCCTTGGGGGGCTGACACTGAGTAATTTACAATGGATCATGGCCCTGGGAGCGCGGACGCAAATAATTTACAAAGGATCCTGGCCCTTGGGGGGCTGACGCAGTGTAATTTGCTTGGGAACGTGGCCCTGGGAGCGCGGACACAGCGTAATTTACAATGGATCGTGGCCTTGGGAGCGCGGACGCAGCGTAGTTTTCGTGGGATCGTGGCCCTTCGGGGGCTGACACAGCGTAATTGATTGAGGGGCGTTGCTTTGGGAGCGCGGACACAGCGTAATTCACCTGGGAGCGCAGCTCTGGGAGCGCGGACGCAGCGGAGTTAACGTGGGATCGTGGCCCAGGGAGAGCGGACGCGGCGTAATTTACCAGGATCGTGTCCCTGGGAGCGCGGACGCGACGTAATTTACAATGGATCGTGGCCTTAGGAGCGCGGACGCATTTTCATGTACGAGGGATCCTGGCCATATGTCAGGGACTTCCCGCGGCACGTTCCTTGACGCATTCCTTGGCACGTTCCCTGGCGCGTCGCTTGGCACGTTCCCTGGCACGTTCCGTGGCGCGTCCCGTGGCGAGTCCCTCTGGCACGTCGCGCGGCGCGTCCCTGGGCACGTCCCGTGGCACGTCCATTGGTACGTTCCGTAGCGCGCCCCCTTGACATGTCCAGCGGTGCATCCTCATGGCACGTCCCCTGGCACGTCCCTTGGCGCGTCCCTTGGGACGTTCCGCGGCGCGTCCCCCCGGCGCGTCCCCTTGTCCGTTAGCTCTGGGGCAGCTACCATGTGCCCAGGCAGCACGAGCTTAAAATCCAGATCAGTTCGGTCTAAACTCGGATGCAAAGGGGGACTCGATCCACAACGCTATAGAGCTCAGTCGCGGCATGGCACATCCCAAGTCAGCACGGCGCAGCACAGCACAGCCCTTGACACGGTGCATCAAGATCGGTACACTCAGCCTTGCAACCTGCCACGCCTGGCCGAGGCCGGCCCGCTCGGGGCCTGCCGCGGAGCGGCCCGGCCCGCTCAGGCCGAGCGCCCCGCCGAGGTGGCCGCGGCGGCGACGCTTGAAGTCAGGCTGGGACGCCGCCGGCAAGCTTGAGACCAGAGGAGGAGGAGGAGGAGGAGGAGGAGGAGGAGGAGGAGGAGGAGGAGGAGGAGGAGGAGAAGCAGGAGGAGGAGGAGACGGGGGGGCGAGGAGGAGGAGGAGGAGGAGCAGCAGCAGCAGGAGGAGGAGGAGGCGGAAAAGAGGGGGATGGCGAGCGGAGGGAAGGGGGAATAATGATGGAGGGCGATGTCAGACGAGCAGGAGGAGGAGGATGAAGGAGGAGGAGGAGGAGGAGGAGGAGGAGGAGGAAGAGAAGGAGCTTACCCGGAGGAGAAGGACCGATCCTGGGACCAGAGCAGGGTGAGGAGGAGGAGGAGGAGGAGGAGGAGAAGGAGGAAGAGGAGGAGGAGGAGGAGGAGGAGAAGTAGGGGGAGGAAGGCGTTTGCGCCTGAGCGATGGGGGCATGACCGCCCTACTACTGCTCGTTGCCACGCCCATGCGCGGTGCCAGGGCCATGGCGCGGCGCCAGGGCCATGGCGCCCGCGAGGCCACGCCAGCGCACCGCTGCCGTCGCCACACGGGGGGCTGCCCGAGCGCGCGGCGGACTTGCGATCCCCAGCCCATGATATTGCTGAGATGGACCCGCAGAGGCCCCTGCGAGCACCGCGCCGCAGGCGCTGGCTCGCCACCGGAGCAGCAGTGAGGCACCATCATCAGGACACGAAGCGCATCGTCGTCTGGGCAGCCCGCCCACGGGGCCTGCACGGGCGCGAGCTCCTGCGGGAGCAGCGGTTGCCTCCCTCGCCAGCACGCCCACGGGGCCAGCGCCGGCGAAAGTTGCCAGGGGAGCAGCTGCCGCTGAGGTGGCGCCCGAGGAGGCTGGGGACCCCCCCGCGGGGCCGCGGCCCACGGCTGAGACGAACAGCGGGGGCCCGGGGAAACTGCTGGGGGAGGCATGCCAGAACGGCACGGGCTGGGGTAAATCATTCCCCAGCCACGCCCTGCTTGCTCCCTCGGTTCCGCGGCCAAGTACACCCCCACGATCATTTGCGACAGGAGCAAAAGGCGGACGCCAAGCCCCGAGTGGCCGCATGCCGCGCAAGGGAGCCCGTCCAGGGCATACCTGGGTAACCCAGTGCCCCGGATAATAAATCATACCCCTCCTTTCGCCCCCCCCCCCAAACATTTTATCCCGTGTCAATAGGATGTGTCGGAGGTTGATAGACCTCCTACCGCGACGCGTCGATTAAGGAATTGGCCGTTTTCGGCTCGCGAGAGGGCGTCGCGGCCGTCATTTTGCGGATCCAGGTCCGTCGGTTTCGGTCCCCAGCCGTTTTCGCTAAGGGGAGGTTTACTAAACGGAGCTTTGTCCACCGCCGAATTCGATTGTGGAGAAAGCGCGGAGGCCGAACTTGATAATCCCCGGGGAACGTTGCGAATCGAAGTTGCTGTCATCTCATGTTGACTAGCAGCAGCATCAAAAACGCTGAACTTGGCAATGGTCGTCTCTCCATTTCAGCTTGCGCAATCACAAGCGTGTGGCAGGGACATGGGATTCTCACCGTTTCAGTGTTCCCTAGTCACGAACGTGCGGCAAGGCCATGGGATGCTCACTTTCTCAGCCGCTCCCGAGCCAGGAACGTGTGGCAGGGCCATGAGGACCGCTTGGGTTTTGAAGTTACATGCGTGTTTCGAGCAGGCAGTGAATGGCAGTGACTTTCTTCCCGCATCCTTCACACGGTTCGTGGCCCCTCCTCCTCCTCCTCCTCCTCCTCCTCCTCCTCCTCCTCCTCCTCCTCCTCCTCCTCCTCCTCCTCCTCCTCAACAACCGCCCAGGCCCGAGCTTCCCCGAGTCTCCGAGACTCCAAGATTTTGAGCCCCTTCGAGGCACCGAGCTGAACCTCGTCCAGGGGCAACGATAGGGGGGAATAAGGAATAGTGAAGGGGATTCACTGATCCCCACTCGCCCATTGATCGCGGAGAGTGGTTCGATAGCCCGAACATGCCCAGGAACGCGCGGAATCACGATCGGGCGCCCATCGCTGGTGCATCGGCGACGCATCGCCGATTCCAGGTCGACGTTCCCCCCCCCAGTGCCTATCCCCCCCGCGTCGTTGCCCCCGAGTGCGTCGCGAGCCTCAGCCATGCCCTGGGCCGCCGAGCGCGCCCAGGCGGTGGCCCAGCAGGTCGCGGCCCCGCAGGGAATCGCGACCCAGAGCGCGAGCCCGAGCTCGAACGAGATTCCCGAGCGCATGGCCAAGCAGAACGAGAAGATCCTCGACGAGCTGTCCTTCATCGCGGAAAAGATCGCCATTGCCGAGATGTGCCAATGCCAATCGAGCGCGCAAGGTACTGACGCAGCAAGAATGACGGCCTGCTTTTCAAGTTAAGGCGGACAGCGCCTCGCGGTCGGCGAGCGCCCAGCAAACCGTCCTCGAGATGGTCTACAACGGCGGTTCTCGCAAGAGCATCGAGCACGGGCACATCTTCAACGAGAAGGACAAGAGGCGCGTCGAGCTGGCGGTGGCGCTGTTCTTCAAGACCTACTGCGAGATACACGCCCGCCTCTACGACATCTTTGAGAATCGCGGAGAGCCGCCCGTGAGCTTTTTTCCGGCTCATGCCGAGCTTCAAGTCGAAGATGCTCGAGCTTGCCCGCAAGAAGGACATCGAGCTCGGCGCCAAGAGCGCCCGGCGCCTCAGCTTCGGCCCCCACGCCGAGCGCGTCGGCAAGGCCCTCCCCGACATCCCCTCCGAGCTCCTCAACCTCCGCGACCTCGCGCTGCGGATCAACAAGAGTTTCGGGCCCGTCGAGAAGATGGACGAGGAGTTCTCCTCCGGCGTGCCAGCCGATCAGCTCTTCGAGGTGATCCCCCACAAGGCCAAACAGTTCGTCAACTGGCGCCGCGCCAACCGCGCGGTGCGGGGTGTTGACCGCGCGCGAGCCCCCGCGCGAGCGGTCGTCAAGGGGCGCTGGGGCCTCGAGCGCGCTGCCGACATGGCCCACGAGCTCCAGAAGGTGAACTACCAGGACAAGCGCCCCAAGCACGACTACGCAAGCACCGAAGAGTTCGCCGAGATCCGCGCCGACTACGACAAGATGCGCACCCAGCGCGAGCCCGAGAAGAATAAGGCCAGAGCGAAGGCCGAGCCAGAGGCCGACAAGTCGACGCCGAAGGACGCACGAAAGCCGAGCGGCGGCGAGCGGCGAGCGCCTGGCGCGCGAGCGCCCCGAGCCAAGCGATCCCGCGCTTTTCGCTACGAGGGTACCGCGCGAGCGTCCCGAGGCACAGGCTCGAGCCCCATCTGCTTTCACGCCCCAAGCGAGTTTTCGAGCACGCGCGAGTGGCGTTCCAAGCTGCGGGGCGCCCCCCCCCCCCCCCCCACCACCACCACCACCACCACCACTTGCTAAGCGATCCTCGATCAAGCATCAAGCAATCAAGCAGGCTCGACCCTCCATCCTCGGATCGAGGACCCGAGATCTCGAGTCCGAGCATCTTCGGCCACCTTGGATCCTAGACCCGAGGACCCGAGGATCGCCAAGCTTGGACTCGAAGGTCTCGGGTTCGAGATCCGAGGATCGAGGATCGAGCCTCGGCGATCGTCGATCGCCGCCGTCGCCAGGCCCAGGCCGCCATCGAGGAGGCCCGATCCGCGGATCGAGGTCCGAGATCTCGATCCCGAGCAGCTTTGAGCGCCTTGGAATTCAGATCCGAGGGTCGCCACGCCTGGACTCGAAGATCTCGGTTTCGCGATCCGAGGATCGAGGGTCGAGCCTCGGCGATCGTCGGTCTCCCCCGTCGCCGTCGCCGGGCCCAGACCGCCATCAAGCAGGCTCGATCCTCGGAGCGAGGATCTAGGATCCGAAATCTTGTTTCCGAGCATTTCGAGCGCCTTGGATTCTAGATCCGAGGATCGCCACGCTTGGACTCGAAGATCTCGGGTTCGCGATCCGAGGATCGAGGGTCGAGCCTCGGCGATCGTCGATCGCCCCCGTCGCCGTCGTCGGGCCCAGACCGCCATCAAGCAGGCCCGATCCTCGATCCTTGGATCGAGGATTCGAGATCTTGACCCCGAGCAGCTCTGAGCGCCTTGGATCCTAAATCCGGGGATCGCCACGCTTGGGCTCGAAGATCTCGGGTTCGCGATCCGAGGATCGAGGATCGAGCCTCGGCGATCGTCGATCTCCCTTGTCGCCATCCTCGGGCCCAGACTGCCGTCGAGCAGGCTCCATCCTCGGATCGAGGATCCGAGATATTGGTTTTGAGGCTCTGCGAGCACTTCTGATCCTAGATCCGAGGATCGCCAAGCTTGGACTCGAGGACCCTGGGCCCTCGATCCGAGGATCGAGGATCGAGCCTCGACACCTAGCGGCCACGCGCACGCACGCACGCACGCACGCACGCACGCACGCACACACACACACACACACACACACACACACACACACACACACACACAGCACACACACACACAACACAGAAACACACACACACACACACACACGCACACACACACACACACACACACACACACACACACACACACGCTCGATCACTCACACACACATACTCTCACACACACCCACACACATACCCACACACACACTCTCTCTCACACACACAACAAAAGCACAAGCAACAAAAGCCACAACAACAACAGCAACCAGCAAAACAACAGCAACAGCAGGGCACAACAGCAACAAGACAAACAACAACAGCTCAAACAAAAGCTGCCACAACGGCACAGGCCAAGCCCGCCGCATCGCCGATGCATCGCCGAGGCCCGCCGATGCATCGCCGAGGTGGCGCAAGCTACGTGGCGCATTGGGCGCAAGCTCTGTGGCGCAAGCACTGTTCGGGTCAAGCCCGCTGAAGACGCAACACTTTCCGTGGTCCATTCAGGTTCAGGCATTCCAGGCCCCTTTCCCGCTCCGGCAACGAGGATGGCCGGGTCGGACAGCGACGATCGCCGCGCGTTTTCCTGGCCCTTCGCTGAGCGGTCGGACGGCGAGAGCGTCGTCTCGCCGATGTTCCTCGTCGAACAAAAGCAGGGCGACGAGCGGGCGCCAGAGAGAACGCAGACCGAGAACTTCGCGGAGGCGAAGACCGAGGACGGCGTCGAGCAGCACGAGGAGACGCAACCAACCGCGCTGGAGGAGGACACCAGCAAGCCCTAGGACAGGAGCCTCGACGACAGGAAGCTCGAGGACAAGACGGTCAAGCTGGAGGACAAGAAGGTCCAGGTAGAGGTCAAGCTGGAGACAAGAAAGTCAAGCTGGTGGACAAGAAGGACTCCTGCAAGCTCGAGGACAAGAAGCTTCAGAACAACGGCAAGCTCGAGGACAGCACGCACTTCGAGAAACAAAGCTCTCGGACAGGAAGCTCAAGCTGGACCCCTGCAAGGTCGAGCCCGAGAAGATGCGCAGCCGCCCTTGCAAGCCCTCTACGACGAGGCAGCGCGATGCCTTGCACTCGGCGCCGAGCTCTCCCACGCCTCCTGCCTCGGCCCCAAGTCCCGACCCATCCGCGAGGCGCCTCGCGAGCCGCCGGGGGCTCCGAGCGAGGTGCCTTCGGGCAGAGCGAGGACGAGGTGCCGGGGGCCCTCGGCGAGGTGACCACCAGCCTCGAGGACGCCAAAGAAAAAACAAGAGACAGGGACCAGAGCAACATAACCGACGACAGCAAGAACAGAAGCACACGCAAGCAGCGCAACACGCCCGCAACAGCAGCAACAACACAAACAACATCAAAAGCAATCAGCAAATCAACAGCACCAACAGCACAATCAACAGCAAGTACAACAGCAGCGCCAGCAACCAGCGCAACAGCAAGCCACAACAGCAACGAGACAAGCAACAACGAGCGAACAACAGTCAGCTACCAACGACAAGCTAACAACATAACGCCGGCAGAAGAAGGCAACAACAGGCAGCGAAGAATGACGAGCCAACGCTAACAACAGCCAGAAGCCTACAATTTTCCGCAGCCACGTTGGCTCGGGGATTTTTGCTTCGAGCCATCGCAGCTTTGCAACGAGACTCGACGACAAAGTACGCGAGCATGTCGAGCATCCGGGGCCTGGCCAGCTCGCCTTCCGAGGTCCCGAACTGTCCGAGCTTCTTCAAGGAACTCGAGGCCAAGAGGCTCGAGGCTGAGAAAACAGACATCGTTTTCTTCCTCCCACTCCCCCCCCATCGCCCCCCCCCTCGCCTTCCCCCATCATCCCCCCCCAGGCCCCGAACTTGTTCATCCCCGGGTTTTTGTATATATATATATATATACACATATAGAGAGGGAGAGAGGGAAAAAAAGGCCCCCGAGGGGCACGATCCGCGTGACATATTATGTCCTCCGATGCCGAACGCGGCAGACTGCAACTAGGGCTTGCTAGAGCCTAAGCGCGCGAAGCGCGCGCCTGGTTCTAGTGTATATGCATCTGTTTCTATATAGTTGGATAGTGCATAACAGAGACTGCCACGCGCAGATGCCACAACAACGATTGCACATCCACGTAGATTCCACAATATATGTTGCGCAGCGAAGATTGCACCACAGAGATGGCGACGCATATACTGCGCGGCATTAATTGCACGACCTTGGCTGTGCCACATAAGATTGCACCACTTGGTTTTTGTTGTATCGCCTTTGCTTGATGATAGGCTGCACCATGTATTCATACACACATTCTATAACACCGAACGCACCGTGCGTAATATATTTCTACAAAATCTAGGTTGGATTACAAGGATTGCAAAACCTTAATGACGCAAACACATGCGTGGCACAGTGTAAGCTGTACAACATAGGGTGTACGACATAGCTTCCACGACATCCGTTGCACAACTACTTAGATGACACATCATGTAGTGCACGACGTGTAGTGCACAGGATAGATTGCACCACATAGGGTGCACTGCAGTAATTGCATCACCTAGGTTGCTCCGCACAGGTTGGGCCACATAGATTGCACGATTTGTTGTCGAGCCTCCGGCGCGCTTGCTGATCGCTCACTACACAAATCGCGCGATCTACATCGCACAGCATGGGTAACACAACACATGATGTACAACATACTGCACAAACTACATTGCTACAAGCACATTGGTCTCCACGCTGGCTAACATAATGTTCAACCCACCGAACGGCGATGTCCGCTGCGGCGGCATGGACAGCACCGCATTCGGATCCAATGCCATCAGCGACAGCGACCGCGGGATGAGCAGGAGGAGGAGGTGGATGAGGGGGAGGAGGAGGAAGAGGAGGTGGAGAAGGAGGAAAACGAAAACAATGAGGAAGAGGAGGAGGAGGAGGAAGAGGAGGAGGAGTGAGGAGGGGAAAGAGGGCGAAGAAGAGCAGCAGCATTTGGAGGGAAGAGGAGGGGGAGGAGGAGGAGAAAGGGGAGGAGCAAGAGGTGGAGACTTCCAGCGGCCCGTGCCATGTCCCGACAGCCGAGACCAAAGTCCAAGGAATTTCCTTCGGCTCCTTCGCCGACTCCTTCTCTTCATCCTTCCTCCTCGTTTCCTTCTTCAGCATGGAGTGCGTCTGGAGATCGCTCTTCAGGAGAAGCCTGAGTGAATTGAGAGCTATTGGGGGCTTGCTCCACCCTCGCTACACGGAGGGCAGAGGAATCGAGCAGGAGGAGGAGGAGGAAGAGGAGGAGGAGGCGAAGGAGGAGAAAGGACCATAGGGGGAACGAGAAAGGAGGACGATGGGGGGAGAAAAAAGAGGAGGGAGGAGGAGAAATATAATGATGAGGAGGAGTAGGGGAAGGAGGAGGAGGAGGAGGAGGAAGAGCAGAAGGAGGATGAGGAGGGATGATGAGGAGGAGGAGGAGGAGGAGAAGGGAGGTGGAGGAGGGAGGAAGGGCAGCAGCAGGAAGAAGAGCAACAGCAACATAACGTGGAGAAGAAACAGGAGAATGGAGAGAAGAGGGAGAAGAGCAAACAATTCAACGTGCAAAGGTCAAGCAGGGATAAGCAGCCTCCCCGGCCAGGCTCGAACTGAAGCAGCCCTTGGGCATAGGCTCCCGCGGCAGTCGCCGGTCCGTGGCTGCCACAGCCGCTGCCATCGTTCTGACGTCGCCGCCTTCTTGAGGGTCATACTTTCGGCTTGTGGTAGGCCACAGAATTACGAGTGCCCCCGTGTCTTTCGAATAGTAAGGGTGGCGGCGATGGTTGTAGCGGTCTTGGTAGAGTTCATCGTAATGGTGGTGGTTGACGTTGTGGTCGTGGTTTCGTTCGTGGTCGTGGCGGCGGTGTTGATGACCCCAGCGACGACGACGACGTGTTCCGCCCGCCCGCCCGCCCGACTACCCACGACGACGGCGTGTCCCGCCCGACCGACCGACCGACTCGCCGGCAAAAGGCGACGACGACGACGACGACGTGTTATTCCGCGCAGGCTTCGACGACAACTTGCGTGTCAAGGCAGTCAAGCCAGGCGCCGGCTTTTTCCCAGAGGAGGATCGGAGGAGGAGCAAGAGGAGGAGGAGGAGGAAGAGGAGGAGGAGGAGGAGGAGGAGGAGGAGCAGGAAGGGGGAAGAGGAGGGGGAAAGAGGAAAGCAGGAGGAGGAATAATCGGTGGTAGGAGAGGAGGCGGTGGTGGGGGAGGGGGATGCGGAGGTGGAGGAGAAGGAAGAAGAAGGACGCGCGCGAGCTGAGTGCGACGAGTCGCTCGGTCGCCCCCGCTGGGACCTGGTTGCCGCCTGAGGCGCCAGGTCCCCGACGGGGATCACACGCGCCTACGAGCACGGGCTCCTCACGGGGCTCAGCACGGGGTTTGCACGGGTCCTCCTCCTTCGCCTCCTCTTCCTCCTCGTCCTCCTTCTCCTCTTCTCCTCTTATCACCACCAGCACATCACCATCACCATCATCACCATCATCATCATCATCATCATCATCATCATCATCATCAGCAGCAGCAGCAGCAGCATCAGCATCAGCATCAGCATCAGCATCAGCATCAGCATCAGCAGTATCATCATTTTTCAGGGCCGTAGGCCACCAGGAAAAGCCCCAGGCCACGGATAGCCCGATCGCAGCGCTGCCGACCGGAGCTCCCCTCCAAGCGGTTGTGAGCGTTGTTTGTTCCTCCCCGTCGCAACGCTTGTCGTTGCCCCCCCCTCCCCCACCCCCCTTGGGTATCGCTAACGATCGCACTGGGCGGGGAGGCCTGGACCCCCCCCCTTCATGCTAGGGGTCGGACTGTGCTCACAGGCATGGCATGGTGCTGGAAGGCATGCTTTGGTGCTCATAAACGTGTTGTAGCGCTCGCAGGCTCCCCACCTGTTGCGGCGCCGAGCTCACAGGCATGGCGTGGTGCCGAAAGGTATGTTTCGGTGCTCACATGTGTGTTCCTGCTGTTCTTCCTGGTGTTCCTCCTGCTGGTCCTCCTGTTCCTGCTCCTCTTGCTCCTCCTGCCGCTCCTCCCCCCGCTCCGTATTCCCCTCCCTCAACGAAGGTCGCCAGGACCGTTGAAAGAGGAGACGAAGAGGACGGAGGAGGAGGCGCAGGAGGAGGAGGAGGAGGAGAAGGAGGAGATGAATGACGAGTCTTGAAGACCTTCGCGGTCTGTGGCGAGCCCCGCAAGGATGCCTCGCAAGCTATTCATGTGCTCGTTGGCACGTTTGGCGTTCTGGTGTACACAGGCGCTGTGGTGCAAGGAGGCATTGTGGTGTGCGTAGGCGCTGCGGTACACACGGTTGCCGTGGTGTACACAGGCGATGAAGTGCACACAACCTCTCTGATGCACACAGGCAACGAGGTGTACGCAGGCGCTGTTGCGCACACGGCTGCTGCAGGTTACACAGGCACTGTGATGGCCACGTGGTGCTGCAGTGCACGCGGCTGTTGTGGTGTACAGAAACACTGCGGTGTACACAGGCAGCGGTGTGTTGCACGCAAGGCATTGGGCATTGTCGTGTACGCAGGGGCTGTGGTGCACACGGGCGATTGATGCGCCGGCGGCGCGGACGCACCCTGGCAGGTGCACGCCACGGACGCCCTTACTGTAACCCTCCTGCCCGGCGCCCCCCCCCCCCAGGTCGTTACCCTGGATTGGAAAAAACGATCACGCTGGCGCTCGGGGGCGCCAGAGCCCCTCCACCTTCAGGGGCACCGATAGGGAGGGATAGGCGCGGGGGAGGGAAGAGCAGGAGGAGGAGGAGGAAAAGGAGGGGGAGGAGGAGGGGGAGGGGGAGGAGGAGGAGGAGGAGGAGGAGGAGGAGGAGGAGGAGGAGGAGGAGGAGGAAGAGGAGCCTCCAGCTTACTTGGAAACTGTCGTCCCTGGAATGCATGATGTGCGGGTCCCTGGTTGATGCAGACATAGACACGACACCCTTCCAAGTTCATCCGCCTCAATGCCGACGCCCCTTACCCTTTGCAGTGGCAGACCGTCTCGTTATCTTGGGAGCTTGCTTGAGTGCTCGGGCGGAGACGGAAGTTTCTGTAGAGTACCGGCTTTGCAAAGCGGAGGCCTCCTTCTGGATGAATTCCCGCGTGCTCAGAGGACCAGGTTGCGTCGCTAGCAAGTTGCGGGCTTGGTCGACAGGGCCGGCTGCTTGTGCAATGATCGGTTCGTGCGCATGGCACTTGACGAAAGGTTTGCTTGGACGTCTTCGTTCATGGGAGTGGCAATTCCTCAGGCGCGTTCTGAACTTGAAGCGGAAGCCGGATGAGCATCAGTTCTCTTACAACGCCCGGACGTCTGCTAGGATTACTTCGTGGCTTACACTATACAGCATCAAGCCGTTGTACATCAGAGTACTGACCGCTGTCTACAAGAGCGCGTGGCGTGAAACATCTATGCCACCATGTGTGGGGGCGGACAGTTCTTGCACGAGTCGCGCGTCTTCAGAAGCAGGATGTGGTGGGAGTTTGGCAAACACGGACATTATTCTAAGCGTCGCCGGCTGAATTTGGTCCACGCATGCCCTGGTAAATTTGCTTTCTGGGAAGACGTATTTTGTTCGTTCCTTGGTGCTGACTGGAGGTCCAGGCGAGACCAATCGAAGTCCCTGCAAGATTGGATGCGCGAGTTCCCCTCCTTCGCGAACTCTGTCTCCGTCGCGTGGGATCTCCCCGACGTCCGCAAAGCTTCGGCGATCGATTCAGAGCCGGCTCCACCAGCAGTCACACGCCTCCGGGTAGAGCGGTACACTTTGGACGAGCTCCCTGCTGCACATGCCATGCCGAATTTCACGCACCAGGATTTCCAATGGGATTGTGAGGCTGGACTCTTCGTGATTGTATGCGATTGTAAACCCGTGGTCGACATTCTGATGGGATGCACTTCGCCCCTTGCGAGTGTCTTACATCATCTGCCAGCATTTCACCGGGTATCTGATCAACTTGCTCAGCTAGTGGAACGGGGACGCTACCCGCACCAAGCGTGGATGGATCCCTTGGTCTGGAAGAGACGTGAGTTGAACCAGCGCGCCGACCATCTGGTCAACGCAACCATGGACATGCAGAAGTCCTGGCAACACGTTGAACCAAAGGATCCGGACTTCAAGCTGGAGGACGCGAACGTGGAGATTCATTGCGACGGAGGGCGGAAAGGATCTGCCTGCTCAGCATCCGCCTGGGTGATGGAAGCACATTGGTGTAGGCACGGGAAACGGATTACCAGAGTAGTTGCAATGGCGGGAACGTACCATGAGATAGCAGTTTCATCTTTTGCCGCCGAGCTGATTGCAGTTGACTCGTGCGCGGGATTTCTTGCACAGGCATGCGGCTTCAACACGTAGCCATAGGCATTCGGCTAGCCAGACCAGGCTTTAAGCTGTGCGGAAGGAAGGAAGGGGGAGGAGGAGGAGGAGGAGGAAGAAATGAGGAGGGGGAGGACATGAGGAGGAGGAGGAGGAGGAAATGAGGAGGAGGAGGAAATGAGAAGGAGGAAGAGGAGAAGGAGGAGGAGGAGGAGGAGAGGAGGAGGAAAGAGGAGGAGGAGGAGGAGGAGGAACTGAGCAGGAGGAACTGATGATGAGGAGGAGAAGGAGGAGGAGGAAATGAGGAGGAAACGATGCTGCTGATGATGATGATGAGGAGGAGAGGAGAGGAGGAGGAGGAGGAGAGGAGAAGGAGGAGGAGAGGAGGAGGAGGAGGATGAGGAGAGGAGAGGAGGAGGAGGCGGAGAGGAGGAGGAGGAGGAGGAGGATTAGGAGGAGGAGGTGGATGATGAGGAGGAAGAAGAAAAAAACGAAGGAGGAGGAGGAGCAGGAGGAGGAGGCGGAGGGAGGCAGGAGGAGGAGGAAGAGGAGGAGGGAGCGGAGGGAGGCAGGAGGAGGAGGAGGAGGAGGAGGGATAGGCTCAGGGAGGAAAGCATCGAGCCCTAATTGCCCGCGCTTCGGCGCGACATGCTAACCACGTCCCAGTCCACGGACATCAACGTCCTGAGCTGCTTCCAGTTTCCCGCTCCGCGTAGCAGAGCGACACGCTATCCGCTCGCAGGGCATCGGGCGGTAGGGGTCGGGCGGGCGGGCCCTCGGTGGCGCGTGGGGCGGGTAGCGGACCTTGACGCGCATGTCGGGCGGGTCGCGCTGGCGCCCCCCCCCGCGGACCGCGGAGGGATCTCCTGGGCCCGGGGAGTCGACCTCGGCCCTGGCCCCGTGGGTCCCGGCGGCTGTCCGCGCTCGACGCCGGCCCCGAGGCTGGCGCGGCGGACGTCGCGGCATTCCGCGGGCCGCAGGGAGATCCGCTGGGCCCTGTGGATTCAGCAGCGTTCAACCGACCCCTATCCCCATCCCCATCCCCATCCAGACCCCCACCATCTCAGCACCCCAGTTGGGGATATGCACCTCGAGACCCGGAAGAAACAGCCTGTATCCCTACAGATCGGAGGACGCGTAATGGGGGCGGCGATGAATTGGGGTACAGCGAGGGCTGCCGAAAAGGGGGCCTGTAGGGCCCTTACATGGGCCCTGTAGGGCCCCAAAGGAGGCCCTTTGGGGCACCTTTCTATCCCCGCCGTGCATCACCCCCCATTGATTCGCGCCTAACCCTATCCAGGGAGGTAAATCGGCGAATGGGGCCGAGGCCACGCCCATGGCCACCGGGGTTGGTGAAACGATGCCCATGGACGTTGATGTCAGACCCTGCCTTCTTGGAGCACGGCGGCTGGCGGAGGCACCAGGCCGGAGCGCGCGCGCGAGCCGGAGATCTCGACGGGCTTCGGGGGGCGCCCGGGGAGCACGGCGCCGCAAGGTCGTGAGCGGGCGTCAACGCCGAGGCGAGTCGGCTCGTGGCTATGATCACGCCTGGGCCGACGCCGGCGCAGCACACGCCGAAACCAACAGAGTGTGTACGTATATATATATATATATATATATATATATATATATATATATCGGAGGTGAGTGGGTGAGATCGAAGTGGAACGGAGAGCCCCGCTACCGGGAAATCGATTTCGGTTTCGGGTTCGTGCGTGCCGTGCGTGCGGGCGAGGCGAAGCTGCGTGGGCGGGCGAAAGTAAGTCTCCTGTGGCTGAGGCGCGGCCGGACCAAATGTTTCCCTTCCGGGCGGCCGGTGGCGCGCGGTGTCCCGCCGGTGTCCCGCTGGTGTCCCGTCGGTTCTCCTGTGGCTGAGGCGCGGCCGGACCAAATGTTTCCCTTCCGGGCGGCCGGTGGCGCGCGGTGTCCCGCCCGTGTCCCGCTGGTGTCCCGTCGGTGTCTCATCGGTGTCCCGATGATGATGTGGATGATGATGATGATGATGATGATGATGATGATGATGATGATGATGATGATGATGATGATGATGATGATGATGATGATGATGATGATGATGATGATGATGATGATGATGATGATGATGATGATGATGATGATGATGATGATGATGATGATGATGATGATGATGATGATGATGATGATGATGATGTTGGTGTTGTTGATGATGATGATGACGTGATCGATTGCGAGATCGATTGCGATATCGATTGCGAGATCGATTGTGTGATCGACTGTGAGATCGATAATGAGATCGATTGTGAGATCGATAGTGAGACCGAATGTGAAACCGAATGTGAGATCGATAGTGAGATCGATTGTGAGATCGATAGTGAGATCGATAGTGAGACCGAATGTGAGACCGAATGTGAGATCGACTGTGAGATCGACTGTGAGATCGATTGTGAGATCGACAGTGAGACCGAAAGTGAGACCGAATGTGAGATCGACTGTGAGATCGATTGTGAGATCGATAGTGAGATCGATAGCGGGACCGATAGTGATATCGATAATGAGATCGAATGTGAGATTGATAGCGAGATCGATTGAGTGAGACGTTGGTTCCCCCTCCCCCCTCACCTCCTTATCACCCGCAGGGTGGTCGTATAGGTATATATATATATATATATCGATATATAGATATATATATATATATATATATGGACTGCGTCTTCCTGGCTTGCTTTGCACTGCGCTGCGCTGTGCGTCTGGAGGGCCGCGTCGTGTCCTCCCCGCAGGTAAAAAGGCCTCCTAGCTGGTCGCGCTGCAGCGAGATGCGACGGCCGCTCCCCTCCAGCCAGAAGAGCCAGCATAGTTTGCTGTGGGAAGCGCTCGGGTCTTCGTAGAGACGCCAAACGCCATCCTTTACCCAGTGTCGACAATGGTAAACGCATGGAATCATGTTCAAAAGCCTCCCAGGAACCCTTGAACGACGCAAGGAAACACCGACGTAGAGCGTCGACAACCAATCGGAAGCGCCCCAATGAGCTAAAAGAGCTTCTGCAAGTCGCTCGAGAATGCAGAATACGCTCGGTTCCTTGAGAGCGCACCGTTAGGTCTCGCGAGACGCGTCGATTCGAGATCCACCCGCACGGGAACACGAGGCGATGCCATGGGGGCGTCGAAGCGTGCACGAGTCCAGGCTGATGCGTATGGGCACCTCTGGGGCTGTTCTGGCGCACTCCAGCTTTCCTGGGCCCCCGCTTCGCGCGTCGCGGCCTGGGCCAAGAGGCGCTTTTCCCCTGGGCAGCGGCGCAAGGGCGCAGAGGTCGCCGCAGGTCGCGCGTGGCCCTGGCGCGATGCGAGAAGTGGGGTGGGCCAGCAGAGCGGCGAGGGGTGACGTCCGCCCGTGCCCTGACATTAACAAGGTGAGCGGGAGCGGCGCGAGGAGAGAGGAAGGGAGGGTTGATGGGGGAGGCGAAGGGGGAGGGGAGAGAGCAGGGGGGGGAGGGATGCAGTGGGCGACGGGGGGGGGGCTGGGCGGGAATGTATTTTGGGACGGAGGGGTCAGAGGATGGATTGAGGATGGTGTCTCTTTCTCCTCCGACCCTCATCTCCATCCTTCTCTACGCAGGGTCCCTCCTCCTCTTCCTCCTCCTCGTCCTTTTTGTCCTCTTCTCCCTTCGTCATCTCCTACCTGCCTCTCCTCCTCGTCCTCCTCCTCATTCTTATTGTCCTCCTCCTCCTCCTCCTCCTCCTCCTCCTCCTCATCATCATCATCATCATCATCATCATCATCATCATCATCATCATCATGTCCTCCTCATCCTCCTCACAGGCGGTTTGGCAGCGGGCGGCCGTGCAGCCGTCTTGCCCCGCGCTGCCTGCCCGCGCCGCCGTAGCCCCCAGGCGCCCGCAGCGGCGCGCCACGGATCGCGTGCGGGCTCGGAGCCCGCCTTGGCATCGCCGTCAGAGGCGGCGGTGATTTGAGGCGAGGTACCGCCTTCGCCGTGAGGGCAATCTGCAGGTGTTCAGTCAGCACCACGGGAGCCGCGTGCCTTCCATGGCTTGGCGTCAGAGTGCGCCCTGGCATCCGAGTCGTGGGGGGATCGTGGCAGACATGGAATGGATCGAGTAAGAAGCAAAACCATGTTTCATCATATCAGGTCTGCTCGTCGTGTGGCCAGTGGGAGTACATTGAGTACATCAAGCGGGGGCATCGGCAGCGCAGAAAGTGTCAAACCCCATATCGTTGCGGTACCGTCGACTTGCAAGCGGGCCAAGCTTTACCCCGCGCGTCTTTGGATCGCGTGCGCAGCCGCTGTGCCACCTTCCCAGTCTCTCGTGGATCTGCCCCCCATGGGGCTGGATTTGCTGGTTACGGGGAGCAGACCACTTTGGCCAATCAGTACGAAGCAGCGGCCAAAGTTGAGAGGCCGCCCAACCGAGATGTGCAGTGGAAGCTTGATCGGCTCAACGAGACTAAGATCCTGCTGCCCGAACACGAGAGAGCTGCGCAACGCCACGGCAGCGAAGCAGGTTGTTGATCAGGCGACGCCAGCCTTCGACCCCGACGCGTTCAAGCACCAGGAGCGGCAGGAGCTCGAGATCAAGAAGCAGGAGGCGGTTGCGCAGGCGGAGACAACGGCAGTTGCGGCGACGCAGGCGCCGACCCACGCCCCACAAGCGCCTGAGAGAGGGCCCTTGGCGGCCGCGCGGCCCGCGGCAGCCCCTCCTCAAGAGCATGGTGGTCACGGTGCAGGCGGCAGATGGTGCTCACATTCCTGTTATTGTTGGTGCCGTGCGTGTTCCTGACAATGTTAGCAGGTTCGTCGTCCACGGCGCCCTAGACTACGCTGGCGTCAGTTTTAATCGGGTTGGTTGGCGCAGTGGCGACACTACCATGAAACGCGCCAGAAGCGTCGAGCCGTTCCGATGGATGATGTTTCCAGGGATGCATATGAAGACGGTGACCCAACAAAGCTCGAGGAGTTCGCCAATCTCAAGAAGCGCGAGGCCGAGTCGTGTCTGGACACCACCCAGGCCCACGCTACCAGCAACTCCTCACGGCAGTGGTCGAGAATAGGACTGTCGTGCGCGCCCGCCGCTCTGAAGGTCAGTCTCATAATATGCCCCGTGCTTGTTGTAGCGCCGCAGCCCGGCAGCTCACACCTGGAGTTGCGGCCCCCGCTGCAGGTCAGCAGCCTCTATGACACAATCCAAGCCCGGAACGGTATGGCGGATGCACGCCATGCACGCGCACTCGGCATGAATGAGCTTCGCTCTCTAGCGCAGTTGTCTTTGAATGATACCGAGCCTCCCTAGTTGAAGGACATGTCGCGCGCGCGCTTCCGCGAGGGCGCTGCCGCGGGAGTGGATATGGTTGCCGAGGTTATTCCTGGCCCCGGCCGACGCCGCTCTTGAGCAGCTCACCGACGTCTTTGTCCCAAGCGAAGCAGATTTGGGCTTCCCGCCATAAAGCCCGCTCCGTCTTGCGGCCACGCTCCCCAAATCCGCGCGCGAGGAGAGAGCCATCGCCAAATGCCCGCCCCTACCGCGCCGATTGCAAAGCTAGAGGCGCGGTTAACTATTGATTCCTGGAAGCGGGGCCGCCAGGAGTTCATGAACACGGCGGCGAAAGGTTCATCGGCCTGAAAGGTCACGCTTTACCGAGAGGTTTGTGACGAGCTCGCTCATTCCCCTGGCACGGCTGCTGCGTCTGCTAGCTGGGACATGGAGAGGCGCTTCGATTCCGTCTCCCCACATTAGCTCATGCATCTTTTCATTCAGCATGAGTATCCTGATCGCCCCATGTGCCTCGGGCCGTTCACACATTCCTCTCCTCGGGCACTGGATTCGGCTGGGGGGCGCCCGCCCACTGCGACGGCGGGCGGGCATGTCCTCGCCAGTTTCGCGCAGTGCATGCGCGGGGCGAAGTGCCACTTAGACGGCGCCCCTGAAGAGGCCCGCCACCGCCTCCCAGAGATCCACGCGAGGTCCTACGGTGACAATGGCAGTCAGTTCCTCCGCGGCGCCCCCTCCTTCCCTGCCAAGACCCCCCCGCCCGCCGTTGCCGCCTTCTGCGATGACGTCGTGGACGCTGGATGCTTGATTTCGCCCATGTCTACTGGGGGTACTTCCAGGAAATAGTAGAACGCGTCCTGCCCCCTCGCCGAGAGTCTCTTTGCACGGGCCTCCTTGTCGCTGAATGTGGATCCAAATCCGGGGGCCGCTGCCGCTCGGCAAGAGGGGGGGGCGGCCAAGCCGAAGACCAGGGGGGCCGCTGTTTTTCGGAGGCCCGGGAAACGGAAACACCGGGCTGCCGCGCGGGCGATCTCATGACATCGGATAAGACTGGCGTGATTTCGGCCAGTTCCCAGGGCCACGGGGCCGCGGGCCCCCCGAGCAGCGCGCTTCGGAAGACCAGTTCCACCGCTGCATCATGCTCGGGATTCTGGAGTTATGGGGCTCGCGCGACCACGGCCATTTGGATTCTCTGCGACTCTGCGATTATGGCGACGACCCAAAGCGCTGGCTTCGAGCCGAGCAGCTGTCTGTTCTTTCTGAAATTTGGGCTTCGCTTCCTGCCGATACGAACGCTGGCGCGCAAAGGGCGCGGTCTCGATGCACGGGGCGTCTCCGCAAGTAAGCTTACTGCGCGTCGCTGGAGATTGGTGAATGGCCCCATCGGTGCTGTACTCATTATTATCCTGGGCCCAGGCTGGATTCCGAGGGCCGTCGATTGCCGGCGCATCTCCGGGGCAAAACCTCGCGGTGAATGACGGCGATGTTCGATGCCATCTCCGCCGTCGCGTTCCCGAGACTCGTTCGCAGTGGGCCTGGTCTTTGGCCGCCAAGCATTGTTGCGCCATGGGCGCGCGGCGCGGCGTCGATTCACGGTTTTCCGCAAGGTGCGCGGGCACCACCGGCGCGCGGCGATGTCGGCGTCAATAGAGGCTGATGTTTGCAGGCCCGAAGCCAGGCTTCAGGGCTCTGGATACACGACAAACCAGAAACGGCCTATATGTGCAGACTTTTACGGAAACCGCTAGACATCAGCGATGGACGCGCCCCAGTGACGCGCACGCGCAAAATGCGCCGGTGCTAGCCACGCCCCACTGGGAAACAAAAATGCCGTTACTGCTGGACCCGAAAGTGCTCTATGGCATCGTGGCCCCCCATCGATCGAGTCGACCGTCGGCCCGGTCACCCCGCCCACCTCTCGCGCGCGGCCCCGGGGCTTTGCCTGTCCAACGTCGAGTTCCCGATGGAGGCGCGCGGGGCCTCGGCGGCCCTGGCGGGAAGCAGGAGAGAGACGCCCGGCTTCGACTTCGCGGGCGGTCGCTCGTTCGCCTGGGAGGCCATGACGATGACGGGCAACTTCGCCTAGGCGCTGTTAGTTGCGGCGGCCCCCCGACCGTCGAGCAATCCAGTCCCAGGACGAAGTTGTTCACGTTCCTTTTGGTTTTGAGTCGCACTTCTGGCGATTTATTGGGTCATGCTGATCATCTGCCCCTGCGGCCGGCGACGAGTAAGACGCGGGCCCATGTTGCCCGGCGTTCGCCCACGCAAGATCTGCGGGTCCTGATCTGGAATGCGATCGATCAGCGCGGACCTGGCAGGATTACAGCACATTGGACCAAGTCTCACGCGGGAGACATCCGCCATCGGGCCCGCAGAGTCTTGCATCGGCGTGCCAATTTCTTTGCGGGATGGGCAGCAGATGCCTCCGCGCTGCCCGAGAATGCGACCAAACGCGTGCAAAAGCAGGACGACCTTGCTCACTCCATCCCGCGCCGCCTCCTCGATGTCAACAGTGAGGAGGAAAAGAAACACAGACGCAATTGATCGTCGACTCCCAAAAATCTAGACGAAAGTATGGGAAGTGGGAGGAAGACGAAAACCACAAAAAGATGGAAAACATATTTGGAGTCCAGTTGTTTGCGTGTATTTATGCGTGTGTCCCAAGGCCCCTTTTCAATCCTGCGCCGCCTCATTGATGTCAACACGTAGGCTGCGACGAACTTCAAGAGGCAGGCCGCCGACCGCGCTGGCCGCCCTCCCATCCGGCCCCGGGCGCTGTCCTTCCTTATGCACCCGCAGGGCCAGACGCGCTGGCTCCAGGGCACCTCGCGCACGGAGAATGTCAGGAGGGAAAGAAAACACACAGACTCAATGAGTCGTCGCTTCCCCAGAAATATATGAGAATGTGGGAAGTGGGGGGGAAGACGAAAACCTACATAATATAGGGAAATATGGGGAATCCGGCTATTTGTGTGTCTTTATTTGTGTCCCAGGGCCCCTTTTTCAGAATAGTGCGATTCTCACGTGCCAGATTCGTGCTCGGCGTTCTGTTCTGCGGGCCGCTTGAGGAGTTCCTTTCCTGGGCCGCCTGAGGGCCCGACACTCTCCTCGGGCCCCCTCCTTCATCCACTGCATCCGCACTGCACACTGCGCATGTCGATCTAAGCTGGAGATGTTGCGCGGTGTCATCCACTGTGAAACATGTTGTGCGCACGCCACTGTTGCAGCCCAGGCCCTGCGCCATCCGAGCAGCACCCTGGACCGCCATCCCACGAAAGCTGGGAGGAGGTGCTTTCTCGTTTGTCCAGGGGCCTCCCCCCCAAAGCGGTGGTTGTTTTCCTGATTTCTGAATTCGGATCGTGCCCAGGATTGTCCTATCTCCACCGGTTTCCTAACTAACTAAATATTCCTCCTCCTCCTCCTCCTCCTCCTCCTCCCCCTCCTCCTCCTCTGATATCCCTTCTTTTGCGCCACAAAGGGGGGAGGAAGAGGACGAGGACGAGGACGAGGAGGAGAAGAGGGAGTTGGGGGACGACGACGACGACGTTGACGACGACGACGACGACGACGACGACGACGACGACGACGACGACGACGACGACGACGCGAGTGGGACGGGGAGGGTGGTGCAGACCAGTGGGGGCAGCAGGAGGGACGGGGCTTCCCACTGCCGCGCCCTCCCCCTCCCCCGCTCCCCCTCGCCGTCGCCCGTGCGCGGCCTCCCCCCCGAGGCTCGCAGGCCCAGGCCCTGGGCGTGCTGCCCGGGATGCTGGCGACCTCCGTGGGCGGAGAGGCGGCCCCCTCAGAGGGGGGGGGGGGGGGCGCTGCTCGCCGCCCGGTCGGTCCTTCTCGGGGGGGGGGGGAGAGGAGGGCGGAGAGGGGAGAAGGGGGGAGAAGAAGGGGGGGGGGCAGGCGGAGGGGGAGGGGGGGGGAGGGGGGCGGGGGGAGGAGGGAGGGGGAGAGGGGGAGAAGGGGAGGGGGGGGGGAGAGGGGAGGAAGGGGGGCGGGAGCAGGAAGGGGAGGGTGGGGAGGAAAAGGGGAGAAGGGGGGGGGCAGAGGGGGGAGGAGGAGGGAGGAGGCGGGAGCAGGCGGGAGGAGGCGGGGGGAGGCGGGAGCAGGCGGGAGGAGGCGGGGGAGGGAGGGGGGAGCGGGAGGAGGAGAGTGAGGGGAGAGAGGGTGGATGGGGGATCCGCAAGGGGGGGCGGGGAGGGGGACGCGGGGAGGGGAGAGGCGGAGCGCGGCAGATCGAGCGCGCTCCGCCGACTGAGACGGGGGTGCGCGCGCAGCAGGCCCTCCTGGCCGCGGCAGCGGTCACCGCTCGCCGTGTTCATGGTTTGGGAAAGGGGGAGGAGGGAGGAGGGAGGAGGAGGAGGAGGAGAGGAGGAGGAGGAGGAGGAGGAGGAGGAGGATGCTAGGGCATGGATGCCAAGGGTGCGCCCTCAGGCGCGAGGTCACCTCGAAAGCGCCTGCGGACGGGAGCTGACGCCAACGCCGCGCACATCCAAGAGGGCCTCCGACACCAAAACTCAGTCCCCGAGGAGCCACGCCGCCGCTTCTTGCTCTGCGTCCAGAGGGCCAGCAGGCAGCTCCTCGAATTCCGAGCTTTCGTCCTCGGGTCCAGGCCTTGCTCCCGTCTCGGCGTCCCGCACCTCGGAGCTGTGCGCCGCGCCAGAGGAACCTCCCGCCGACCCCTCGGTCCGAAGCTCGGCGGCTCGCAGCTTGCAGGATGGTTTCGGCCTCCTGCCCCTGACGAACAGCTTCGCGGATGGCAGTTGGGGCTCCTTCCCTTCTAGGACAGAGCCCCTTCTTGATTCTCGAAAGATTATCCCTGCCTTTCCTGGTTGAACCAGGGCAGGGCTGTCTCAGATGACGGAAATCCACAGTCGCAAAGCGGCCGCACGAATGGCAGAAATACAACGAGAGGGACCCCCACCATCCCATGCAGTGCGTGGGGTGGGTCCCCCCCCGCGACTCCCGACTGCAGCTCCTCCCCCCTCTCGCTCGGTCGCGGGGCCCTCGCCTCGATCGCGGTCGGCCTGGGGGGAGGGGCACGCAAGGGGTCGCACAAAACTCGAGGAGGTCAGCAGCATGCGTGATCTGCAAGCAGCTGCTGCACTGCCACTTCGGCCGCCCAACCTGCCGGAGTGCGTGCGGCGAGCGATCGATGGCCCGCTGCCGTCGTGACTTCAACGGCGAGCGGGCAGCTCGCACAGGGCGATCGGCAGCGCTCTCGGTGTCGGCCTCAGCCGCCAGCTGGAGGGCACGCCTAGCTGTCTTCCTGACCAAGGCAGCTGTGGCGTCCCAGAGGTCACAGTGCGCAGCTTCACGCAGGACCCATCCCTCCCAAGCCAGGTCCGCCCCCACTCCCGCTCCCACGCCGGCCGCAGCGTTGCCTGCGGCGAGGAAGCAGCCTCGGGGGGTGGCCAGCTGGGCCTCGTCCTCCTCAGCGTGCGAGGGCGTCCAGTCAATCTCGACCCGCCCCGCAGCTCTGTTCCGCAAGGCCTGCCGAATTCTGTGCCACAGGTCTTCATTGGGCCCCCGTGCTTTTCCTGGACCTCTGGGGCCAGGCCGTCCTGAGGGCCTGGTGGTCGGTGAAAGAAAAAGCAAATCTCCTGAGGTGTACTCAAGAGCCAGCGCCAGCGCGAGGGTTTCGGCCCTGGGGACAGACTGGGTTGGCCCCGACAGAGGCTTGATCCTCGTGGCTCCCATCTGCCAGCACTGCGAGTCCTCATCCCACTCGATTGTCGCGATCGCTGCTCCACAGCGTCGCCTCCTAGGATCGTCCGAGTACCGACCCCCCGACCCGTCCCCGAACACCGTAACCCACACGTCCGCCCCCCGATAGCCGCCCAGCGCTCACGCGCCAAAAGGCAGCTCGATGCCCGCGAGGCCTTCCTCATCAAAGCGGGGGAGGGTGAGGTGGGCAGGGGGGAGGCCTCTGAGCCACAGCGCGGGGTCGGCCTCCAAGCCCGCCAGGGCCTGTCCGACCAGCGCGCTAGAGGCCCTGAGCTCATGAAAATCGTCAGCGTTGCCAGAGCACTCCCAAATCCTGGCCGCTGGAGCGGGAGCGGCGCGGGGCGACAAGGTCTGGACACACTCGCTGCCCCTGTTCGGCGGCGAGCGAGGATCTAGCCAGCCCCGGCTCTGGGCAGGGTGGTGCTGGGCATGTTGGGCTGAAAGGGCGGGGCTTGGGAGGGGGGGACAGCGCGCGCGTTCGCAGCACAGCAGGGCGCCGCGAAGAGGGGGTCGCGCCGGCGCGGCCGCCGCCCGCGCGGTCTCGGCCGCCCCGCAGCCATTGCCTTTGCAGTCCGTCTGCCTTGCAGAGAAGGGGCGCTCGCCCGTTTTAGCGGTTCGCTGCGGGGGGTCCCTTGCCCCATCTTCGTCGGGGCGACCGCCTCCCTCTCAGAAGGCGGCGGGACTTCTCAGAAGCCGTCGCGCCTTCTGAGAAGTTTCCTGCGTCTTCATGGGGAGGCTCCGGACACCTCACAGAAGGCCGAGTGACTTCCGAGCCTTTAGGAAGGCCCGCCCCTTCTCACTTGCCCTCACCCAAGCTCGCCGCCGACCGTTGCCATGCTCACCCTGGAGCCAGGGGTGGTGGATATGCCTCCCTGGCCACGCTGGGAAGGCGCATGCACCGATCGCGGGCCCGGGATGGACTTGACCAGAGGCGGTGGATAGGGATAGATCTCGCCGCCCTACAGCGGCGAAGGCATGGGGAAAGGGAGGAGGAGATGTTTTGTGGCACCCACAGCCACATAGCCACCTCACATGCGGCCAGCACCGCCCAGGTCTGCTCGCACCCCCGATCTCTTGGGGCGGAGGCCTTTTGCAGAGCCTGGGCTAAGCCTCCTTGCGCCGACCAGTGCCCGCAGACCAAGACTTGGCGTCCTTGTCTGGACCCGAAACCTTTTCGAAGGGACAGTGTGAGCATAGGTCCCCGAGCGCCTCAGCTGTCCTCCAAGCGTGGGGATGGGGAGGGGCAGGAGGAGAATGAGTAGGGAGGCTGGATGACGTCCAGATTTTCGGTTAGCGTGTCGCGCCGCTGGTTCTGGCCCACCACGCTTCGGCTCGACACGCTATCCGCATCCCAGTCCCCGGGCGACTGTGTCACGAGTTTTTGCGGCCCCCCCGCAAAGCGGAGCGGAACGACACGCCATCCGCTTGCACAGTACAGCGTGTCGCCATGGTTGCCGCCGCGACTGTCTATGCAACAACTCTTAATCGTGATAAATATGCGGAGCGCGAGCAGGCCGCAGGCAGCATCACGACGGGGGCCAGAGGGGGAGCAGCAAGAGGAGCGGCAGAGGGGCCAGCAAGAGGGCCAGCAAGAGGAGCAGCTGGAGCAACAGCTGGAGGACACGGGAGGCAAGAGGGAATGAGGGACAGGAAGGAGAAGGAGGAGGCGGAGGACGAGGGGAAGAGGGAGACTGATGACGAGAAGGAGCAGAAGAAGTAGGGAAAATATGAAGAGGAGGAGGAAGTGGAGCAGGAGGAGGCGGAGGAACAGGAGGGGGAGGAGGACGAGGAGGAGGAGGAGGAGGAAAGGGACAGGGAAACAGAGAAGAAGAAAGAGAAGGAGAAGGAGCAGAAGATACAGGAAATAGGAGGAGGAGGGAGGAGGAGGAAAAGGAGGAAGAGGAGGAGGAGGTGGAAAAGGAGGAGGAGGAGGAAGAAGATGCACGCGAACAGTTTGATCGTGTCCCCGCCCCCCGGACACCCCAGAGCACCCTGGAACTCTGTTTCCCCAAGCTTTGCAACCGCTAAACACCCCTCCCCCCCTCCGCCCCCCCCCGCCCCCCCCCGCCCCCCTTTTGCCTCCGCCCCCGCACCCCTCGCTCTCTCTACGCTTGCCTCCCCCCCCACGCTTGTGCCCCACCCGCTCCCCCTTCCCTCCGTCGCCCCCAGCCCAGACGGGCCGCCCCACGGACTCTGGGTCGGCCGGAGCCGGGCGCGGCCGAGGCGATATCCACCTCGAGTGCGCTGGTCGGCGTGGTCAAGGCGGGCACCGCTGCGCCGAGCTGGGCGGGGAAATCGGAAGAGGGAGGGAGGGAGAGGGGGGGAGAGGGAAAGGCATAGGGTGTGGCGGCGTGGCGAGAGAGGGGTAGAAAGAGGGGAAGGGGATAGGAGGACAGGGAGGGAGGGCGTGAGCGAGCGAGGGAGAGAACGAGGTAGAGAGAGAGAGAGAGTGCTGGAGAGAGAAAGAGAGAAAGAGAGAGAGAGAGAGACATATACATTTGTGTACACACGGTGTGTATGAGAGAAGTGGGTATACCTGAATATTTGTTTATAGATGTGTGTATAGGGAGAGAGAGAGAGAGAGAGAGAGAGAGAGAGACACACACAGCGACAGAGAGCGAGACAGAGAGAACAAACTAGTGGAAGAGATAGCGTAGGGAGTAAGGAAGGCACATCGAGCAAATTACATACACACATACATATACACCCAAAACATTGATGTGAATGCGCGTGTTTACGTAAAAAAGAAAAACGTATGCTTTGTGTACGGATGTTTGCGTACATGTGTGTGTACACGTACACACAGGTGTCTATTTCCATATAGGTGGACGTGGGACTAATTATCATCCTCTCCTCCTGCTCCTCCTCGTTCTCTTCCTCCTCCTCCTCTCATCCGCCTCTTCCTCCTACTACCCCTACTCCTCCTCGGCATCCATCATTACTTGTCCTTGCAACTAATTCCTCACTGTCGCGCCCGGAGGCGTCTAGGTAGGGTGATATGTGCGTTTCGCTTAAGACTGCCTCACCCTTTATGATACTCAAGCTGGAAATTTTCAGCAGTTCCAAAGATGGGGCCGCTGTCAAACGATCTTCTCGCCTTAGCGCCGCGCGCATTCGTTTCTTAAAACTTCGCAATGGTCTCACGGATGGAGGGCGGATCTTTTTAAACGTTTTCTTATCGCCTTAGTGTCGCGCGCGCTCGTCTTAAGAGTATGCTCGAGCTTCACGGATGAGCGGCATTGTCCCCAACATGTAGTTCTCGCTTTAGAGCCGCGCAAATTCGTTTGTTTGAAGAGCTTGTAAGAGCATCATGGATGGAGGATGGTACCTTTTAAAAAAGGCGGTTCTCGCCCAAGCGCCGCGCACACTCGTCTTCAGAACTTGCAGGAATTTCACGGGTGAAGGGCGGTCCAATTCCAAATTGCGACTATCGCCTTAGAGCCGCGCACATCCGTCTTAACAGTTTGCACAAGTTTCACGGGTGGAGAGCTGCATGTTTTCCAATACGTGGTTTCCGGCGTCAGCGCCGCGAACGTATTTTTCAGGAGTTCGCAACAGGTCCAAATTATTCCCATGGTTAACGTCCGAGGAATGGTGTTCTGGAACGAAATAGGAGCTGTCAGGGGGCAACCGTTACGTTGATTCAGGGCGTGAGTGTCACAGGAATGATGCTGTGACACGACTCGGGATCGCCAAGACGCAAGAGCAAGGTTGATTCGCGGCGCTGACGTCCCAGGAGTGGTGCTCTGGCACGGTTCAGGATTTTCGAATGGATGTCTTCCAACGGGACGCGCCCTTCAGTGGAAATGAATCCTTGTAGGGGCTTTTGACGAGGGAGCTTGCGGGGAGGGTCGATTGCAACATCGTTGATGAGTCTTGGATTTGCTCTGATCCTCCCCCTTCTCCTCCTTATTCCATTGTCCGTGTTAAGAAAATTCTTCTTGTAGCACCCCGAGGCCGGTCGAAAGGGCTTTTCGCATGGCATGAGGCGTCTTTACCACCCATGAGCTTGAAGCTTAAACGTTAGTAACCATTTGACACATAAAAGGCGGCTGGGTTTCAACTGTTGGCTCTTGCCATGGAGACGCGCACGCTCGTCTTACACATGTCCAAGAACTTTACCGGTTGTGGGCTGGTTCTTTTCAAGGTGTGTCTCTCGCCTTAGCGCCGCGCACACTCGTTCTAAAAGTTCGCCAAAGTTTCACGGATTGAGGGCGGATCGTCTTCAACATGTGTCTCGTTTCAGCGCCGTTCGTACCCGTCTAAAACAGGTGCATGCGTTTGGCGGGTGGAGTGCGGTACTTTTCAAAAGTGGTGCTCGCGTTTCAGCGCCGTGCACATTCGTTTTTTAATTAGCCAAGGCTTCGCGAAGTGGAGGCGGGTCGTTTTCAAGATGAGGGTATCGCTCCAGCGGCGCGCACATTCGTCTTAACACTTGCATGAGCTTCACGGATTAAGTGTGGGTTGTGTGCAAAATGTGGTGTATCGGCCCAGAGCCGCGCACACTCGTCTTAATAATTTGCAAGAGGTTCACGGATTGAGGGCAAGTCTTTTTCAAAATGGGGTTCTCGCGTTGGTGCCGCGCATATTCGTTTCCAACTTGTGCACGAGTGCCACGGAGTGATGACGGAGTTGTTCCCAAATGTTGTTCTCGCTTCAACGCCGCGCGCATTACTTTTTCAACATTTGCAAGAGCTACACGGACTCGCATGGTTAACGTGTCAGAAATGTCGTTCTGGAACGAGTCAGGGTTGCCGGGGCGCAACAGTTATGCTGATTCGCGGTGTTGAATTGAAGGTGCAGGAACTGCGTGTTGGCACCGTTCTGGATCGCCAAGGCGCACAACTCACGTCGATTCGTGGCATTGACGTCCCGAGAATGTTTTTTGGCACGCTTTGGGATCTTCAAACGGTTGTCTCCCAACGGTGCACTTCTTTCAGTGGAAACTGTATGGAGCCTATGAGGCGGGAGTTCGCAGCGAGGGTTTATACCAGGATCGTTGATGAGTCTTGGGCTTACACTGGTCCTCATCCTCCTCCTCCTCCGCCTCCTCCTCTTCATCCTCCTCCTCTTCATCCTCCTCCTTCTCCCTCTCATCCCTGCCCCTCGTCCGCGAGGCCGCACAGGCGGCGGGGGTCAAGACTGTCGCCATCTCCTTCTCGGTGCCCTCCGGAACGGAGCCGGCCACGCGCGTCCAGGACCGGAGAGGAGGAGGAGGAGGAAGAGGGGGCAAGGAGGAGGAAAAGGAGGAGGAGGAGGAAGAGGAGGAGGAAGGAGGAAGAGGAGGAGGAGGAGAAGACGAGGAGGAGGAGGAGGAAAAGGAGGAGGAAAAGGAGGAGGAGGAGGAAGAGGAGGGAGAGGCGGAGGAGAACAGGGAAGAAGAGAAGAAGGATAATGAGAAGGAGCAGAAGAAAAAGAACGAGCAGAAGAACAAGAGGAGGAGGTTACGAAGAAGAAGTAGCAGGGCAGCAGTTCCAGCAGGGGAAAGAGGGGACGAGGACGTCGAGGTGCAGGAGGGTGGGAGAAGGGAGGGGGGAGAGAGAGAGGGAAGGAAGGGCGAGTCGGTCCCACGGCTCGCCCTCATTTTCTGCCTGTCCCGTCGCATCCCTCCCCCCGTCGTCGCGCTTGTCGGCCCCACCACCGGTCGCGAGCGAGTCGTTTTCCTCATGTCCCCTCCCTGCTCACCAATCAGGCGATCCGTTTTCGCTTCCCCTTTAAAAGTTTCCGGCGCCGTTTCCGTTAACGTTCTCCGTATTGTTGTGCGAATGTCGTACTTTCCCTTGGTGGGGGCCTAGTCCAGATCACCGCAATTTTACTGGACCCGAGCCGTTTTCGAAATTGTTCCGAAAGTCTTTCGGAACCCTGGACTGCCCAGGCCGTCTCGGTGAACCGTTTTTTACCGTCTCGGTGAACTGTTTCTTGCCAGTTTCATGATCGAGGAGCAGTTTGTTTCCAGAAAATTGCACCCAAAAAAGCCAAGCCGTCTCCAGGGCCCATTAAGGTCCTCGCCCGCTTCCCTCTATCGACTCCTTGGCGCCTTCTATATCGCCTCTGCCTGAGTGTGTTTCTTATCCAGCTGCATGCGGCAAGTCTCACCGCCGTGCCAGCCCAGCATTCAGGATGGCGGCTGTTCGAGAGGGCACGAGAGGCCGTCAGGTGTGACACCTCGTGTCTCCAGGCTTGGGAGACACCTGCGATGATGATGAGGAGGAGAAAAAGGAGGAGGAGGAGGAGGCGGAGGAGGAGGAGGAGAAGGACCAGCGAGTGGCACAGGAGGAGGATCCCCGTGCAGTCGCCTGTCTCTCCTGCGTACGGTACTGGTCCCTTCCAAAAGGTGTTCTTCTTGTTCCCCTTCTCCATACCCCTCGCTCCTGCGTCGCCTCCGTCTCCTCCTGCCCACCCTCCATCTACCCCTCTTGCCCATCCGTCCTCCCTCTCCATCGTTCCCCTTCTCTACCCCTTCCTCCTGCCACTCCTCCTCTCCGTGCTGCTGCCCCCTCATCATCCCTCCGCCCTCTGAGTTCCCCATCTCCTTTTTCTTTCGCCTCTCATACCCCTCTTCTTCCTCGTCCTCCTTCCTCATCTTCCTCCCCCCCTTCGTCCTCTCTCCTCCTCTCCTTCTGCCCCCCTCTTCGCTCCCATCCCCAAGCGTCCCCCCCCCTTCCCCCTCCGACAGCCGCTGCCATGCCCGAGCCAGGAGGCTGCTGCGGGAGCGCCCGCCCCGAACGGTGGCGGCAAGCGTCCCTTGGCCGGGGCAGCCTGAGCGTCTTCGTCGTCGTCATCCTCCTCCTCCTTCTCCTCGTTCTCCTCGTTCTCCTCCTTCTCCCTCTCCTCCTCCTCCTCCTCCTCCTCCTCCTCCTCCTCCTCCTCCTCCTCCTCCTCCCCCCCTCCTCCTCCTCCTCCTCCTCCTCCTCCTCCTCCTCCTCCTCCTCCTCCTTCTGCTCCTCCTCGTCGAAGCTCGAAGCTGCGGACTGTGTCGCCACGAATAGTCGAAGCCCTCGCCTCCTCCTCCTCCTCCTCCTCCTCCTCCTCCTCCTCCTCCTCCTCCTCCTGGTCGTCGTCGTCGTTGTGGTACTCCTCGTCGTCGGCGAGGAGTGGCATCAAACGCACCAGCAGCCTCCAGCACCCGCCTTGCGGCGGCAGTGTCGGCGGCGGCGGCACGAGCACCCGGGAGCGCGGCGCAGACAGAGCGGGGCAGACCTAGGTCTCCCAGATCGCGCCGCATCGCCGATGCATCGCCGCTGCATCAGTGAGGCGGCTCGATGCGGGGCCCGATTTTCTCAACGCGGACGTCGCCGATGCACCGCCGACGTCGCCGATGCACCTCCGATGCATCGGCGATGCATCGGCGAGTCGGCGCAGTCCTCTGGCACCATCTACTCGGGCCCCATCTGGGAGGCCTCTACAGTCGACCCGCATAGTAAGGATGAGCGACTTTCCGAGGTTGCCCTTGCATCCTTACCCTTCGGCCCATCCTTGGCCGCGTTCGCTGGCGCGCCCCGCTCGCAAAGTGTCGGCATGGCCTTCCACGGCCCTTGGATCCTTATCGTGTGTCCTTATTATACGGGTTGACTGCACTCGGGCCCCATCTGGGAGGCCTCCAGCAGAGGGAGGAATGGGGTCGGACGCGGCGAGGACGAGAATAAATCCGTTCCAGAGCCTTCTGGAACGCTCGCACAGAGCGTTCTGGAGCGCCTTGAAAAGGCCGCGGCGCCCGGGACACCCTCCACAGCCACGGGCTCTCAAATATTCTCGCTTTATCTTCGCCAAATGTTATCCTCGTCCTGGTTTCGTCCCCAGCCCCCTTGCGTCGTGATTCTTTCATCCCAAAGGTCTGGACCCCTTCCCCGGGATCAGTTTTTCATCCCAAGTTTTTCTTGGCGATCCCGGGCCCGGTAAGGGCCCCCGGAGGCCGAAAATAACGAAAACCCTCCCGTTGTGACTTTTCCACGAAGCGAAGGGGTTTGGGTTTTGCTTATTCGCTGCCCCCGTAGCTGGGCGATGGAGTCGGGAAGGATTTTCATGTGCCTCTGAGTCCAAGGCGGCGCCTCCTGCGCTTGCAACATATGTTTCTTGTGGGGTGCCTGATGGAGCTGCAGGCCAGCCTGGCCAGGTCCGCGGTGACCCAAGAACGGTCACCAGGAGCACTGGCCAGGCGCAACCCCGAGGTGGCGAGTTTTTACAAATTTCCAGTGAGGCGCCTCCGCTGAGACATTGGTGAAACGCGCGCCTGGCGATGAGTGATGGCCAGGACCGCCACGCCACTCGAAGCTGTAGACACGGCGCGTAGCAGCTGATCGCGCCGTTCCGAGTCTAAGAAACGGGCGTAAAAAGGTTCGTATGGTTTTGGGGGCGGACCAGCCGCCTTGAGCCTGCACCAACTCTTCCGGCACGCAGCACGCTGTCCTGTGCAATTTGGCACCAGCTCTGCGCAGCGAGTACGTTCCCATTGCAGCAGTCTGAAAGAACTGCTCGAGATGTCGGCGGAGAGAATCGCAATTCGTGGGGCGAGGCTCCACCGAATGAGAACACGGGAGCGTTTGGATCGGACCCCCAGCGCGAGTCTCGCTGTGCCAGCCTTCCTGCAGGAGGTGGCAATCGCATAGGCTCGGGGTGTCGACCATCATTTGGATGTGGCACACCATGCATTGCCCGAGCGGCTCGTTCTGTTGGCGGGCTACGAGAATTGTCGCGAAATTTCCGCGCAAAGAGATGCCCCGACGCCGGAGCGCGAGAGTGAACACCTCCGAACGCCGAAAAAAGATGCTGCTGGTATAGCGGCGCCCTGGGCAGCGGCGCGGCCCGGCTGCCAGCTTTGAGGCGGGCGGTCTGGTAACACCGCAATTCTTCAACAGATGCCAGGCGCATTGCGCGCGACCGTGAATGGTCGGCCCGCTTCTTCAGACCTCTCCAGAATTGGGCCGACCAGTCCGTCCATGCACTGCCGAATTGCGCTGTCAAGTTGCGCTGCTGGCGCCAACGGCGCACTGCATCGCGCAGACTTGCGACGGGTGCAGAACCGGCCGCCCACCCGGGCAAACAGCATCATGAACTTCGCGTCTGAATCGCGCGGCAACGGCTGCAGCCCTGCAGAGATTTCGAAAGAATCTACGCCGGCGCGCAAGGAGCTGCCGCACCGCTTCTCGGCGCTTTCCGCCAGGGCTGCTTGGGGGAAGCAGCGGGTCGCCGGCGTGGCCCGACTGCGGTGCGCCCGATGTTCCGCCGCAGGACTGCTCTCGTGAACTAGGGGCGGGAGGTCGGGGCCCTCGCTCAGGAGCTGGCGCGCGCCTGGCGCGTCCACCGGCGGGGCTCGAGCTTGCTCAGGCCGCGGCGCGGGGCCCCGGTGAGCCCGCGCGACGAGCTTGAGCGCCGGCGCGCGTCGCTCGGGCGAGCCCCCTCCCCCGCGGGCGCCGGGGGGCCTGCGCGGGGGCAGCGCGGCGCCCCATGGACGCGCGGCTTCTCGGCTGGCGGCCCGGGGCGATCAGAGTCGTCGCTGCGCGGACAGGCGGGGCCGAGGCGCCGGCGGCGCGCGGGCTCCTTGGCGACCCCGGGCCGCGCTTCATCCTGCGTTCTAATAAAGGCATAGTGTCGCGGCGGCCCTGCCTCGACGACCGACGGGCGGGGGGCGGGCGCGTTCGCGCCGCGTCTGACATCCTGCCCCTACCACCTTCGAGTGAGAACAGATGGCGCGCCCATGCAACGCACGTCAACGCCGCGCGTCATTCCTCGACCATCCGACTCCTCCCGCCCATGTTTCCCCATCGCAGTGACCTATCCGCCGACGGGCGTCGCGGCGGACCTGGGGCCCCAAAGGGGCGCCATCGCGGAGGCCGCCCAGACTTTCTCGCGTCGCGGCGAAAATCGCGGCGGGCAGTTCTTGCAACGGTTTGACCGCGGGGGGGGGGGGGGGGGGGCTTGCCAGGCCTCGAGGCCGACGGAAAACAGCGCGAGATGAGCAACCAGTCTCGGGGGAAGGGTCTCGACCTCCAGGGGCCCACGCTTGCGCACGAAAGCGCGTCGTCTGGGAGCCATGGTGTTTTTGTTTTCGGGGGGGTCGCGGGCCCGCTCGGACCCGCCCCCTTTCTCCCTTTGTTCGTTCCCTCCTCTTGCTTGCACCGCTGCAACAGCGGCGGGGGGCGGGGGGCGCGCGCCCCGCCGCCCGCGAGCATGCGCGGCCCGCGAGGCGCGCGACAAAATGCAGCGGCGGAGCCCCAGGGCCGTCGACGTCGTCGTCGTCGCGAGGAGATCTTGCAAACGTTCGTCGTTTTTGTTTGTTTTCTGCGTTTCGCGGAGTTCTCGCGCGTCGCGGCAGGGCGCGCGCTCGATGAGTTGACGGGGGCTTCGCCGCCTTCGCAGGCCAGCCAGGGCCCTCGACCGCAACGGCTTTGACCAGGGGCGTTTGGTCCATCGGCCGTTCTATCCCTGCGCGCAGGTCAGCGGCCGAACGGCCCGCCTGCGCGGGTGGCCGGGCCACGGACATCTCGGACTCGCCGGCGGCGAACGTCGAGGCCATGATCTCGGACGCTTCGTTCGAGGCTGAAGGGGCCGCTGACAGCCGCGCCACGACGCGCGAGGGGTCAGCCGTCGCCACCGCGGCTGGGGCGGGTCGAAGAGCAAGCGATGAACGCGCCATTCACATAGTTTGCGAGGTCGATGCACCGACGCCCACACATGTCTCGCACGGCGGGGCCATTGCGCCCAGGCAACCTGGCGCCACGGATGTTGCGTTTGGAAGACTTGACCCCGCGGGCGCGGCGCCCGGGCAGCCCGGCGCCGAGGGCGTCGCGCCCGGGAAACTGAGTGCCATTGGAGGGCTGGCCGCGTTCAGGATGAATCCGGCAGAGACAGGGAAGCGGGGGGGGCATATGTTTTGCCCCTTCGACGCTGCGCCCATCCCCCGCGGTCGCACACCAGAACAAAGCAGAGTTGCAGCGCCAGCATGGACGAGCCAGAACGCGCGACAGAGGCAAACCTCACGACCACCGCCTGGGGAATGTCATAATCAGCAGCGAATTGGCGCGGTCAATGATGGCGAGCGTTGGATTGACGCGGGCCAAACCCGACGAGCGCCGAACCGGCGCGAACCACGAATCAAACGAGCGTCGAGTCGACGCGCCCGCATTGCCGAGTGACCTGCGGAATGTGCAAATTGCCTTGCAGGAACAAATCAGGCAACAACAAATGCCGAAATCAAGGGGGAGATGCACCCCGCGCCTTCCGCGGCACACCCACAATGCGCGAGAGCAAACCACGCGCGCTGCGACCGGCGAGCGCGGGGCTCTGCAGAAGGAGCTCGGGCCATGGCCAAATTGGCCGGCCAACCACAGGCAGCCAGCCCAGCTACCAATGCTGAAGCTCGCGCTGCTGTCGAAGCCCTCGTGGCCCAGGGTGCCCAGGGTCAGGATAAGGCACGGCAGCAGAGACAGAGCGGCAATCCCACCTACGAACTGCGAACGGCACTGGGCCAACGATTCACTGAGGTTGAAGCCGGGCAGGAGGGCAATGATCTCCGGAGAAAGCAGCGCGATGATATGCTGCGCGAGCTCCGATCAGAAGTCTGAGCCCTGCGAGCGCAACAGCTCGCTAAGAACAATTTGCTGGGGCGCGTCGAGAGTCAGATAGCGGAAAACACAACTTCCGGGAACGGCATCAGGATGAACCGCGTTGCACTCCAACAGCAGCTGAATAACGCGGATGACCAAGCCTCTACAAATATTGACGTGACCACCATGCGCGAAATTGCGCTGGTGGGCCCGTGGGAACAGGTCAGAAACACGCGCGGGAGACTCGAGGCACGCGACCACATAACTGCCGACAACAACAACCAGCTCCAGAACCACAATCAGGTGAGCGCCAAGAGCCTGTGAAGGATTAGCAATGAGGCTGGTAATTGAATTGCAAGATTGGACAAGTGAGTCGATACAATCAACAAAAGAGTCGACCACTGCTAGACAGGCGTCGCGGCTCACGATGCATGCGAGCCCAGTTATGAGGACGCCACGGCCCGTGCCCATGTCGCCGCAGCCGCGCGAACTTGCGGGTTGGACAGGTGCTGAGACCAGGCCCCCAATGGCAACGACGCAAAGCGTCCTCGCATCCCCTGCGCGTGAGTTCGCGCCGGCGCGGCACGCCGGCGCATTGCGCCGGGGCCACCTGGCGCCAAGCACGCTGGAGACAATTGGTGCGTAAGTCAAAGCCAGCAGAGCCATCGCAGTTACGCCGCGCCCAAACCTGATGACCCCGACCACCGCGAACGCATTGCACCGAAATTGGCCCAGCGGGCCCGATCACCTATCCAGGACGAACAACATACAGGCGCGCCACCGCCCCGACCTTTCGGGGATTAGCCTCGCGGCGCGGGCGGTGAGCCACCTGGCCATGAGCGGCGGAGCGCCGCAGGAGATGCACTTCGAATTCTGGTCGACAACATGAGGACGCAGAGGCCGAAAGGCTTGCATACCGAATCCCGCCCGCTGCACCGTACTTCAACAGTGGACTCAGGAAGTGTATGATGCGACAAGCTCTGCATCTGGTGGACCAGGTAAGGGATTCGCGTGGATGCGCGCGATTGCGGACATTGCAACAGAATGTCAGTCCCTCACGGACAGTGGCGAGTTCGAGACACTCGTTATGAAATTGCCACAGCACGCAGCAACATCTTCAGAAATGCCGACCTCAGAAGGAAGGTCAACACACGGAAGGAAGAAGCTTAGACCAACGGCAGGCTCGTCAAAGGACGGCAAGTCCTTTCAATGGTCTCGGGTTGGCACAGGCAGGTAGAAGCAGACGGCTGCATTTTTTTTCGCCCACCTCAATGCAGTCAGAGCGAAGGGCGTCAACCTCGTCAAGTTCATTGATGATTAAGACTTCACTCTCCTGGGCACGACAGCCCACCTGAGTCGTCCATCCACGAGCCCCTGTGCAGAGCGCAGAGAACAGCATCGCGACCTCGACTACGATGTGGGGGCACATCACAGGATAAAAAGCGGCGACCCAAATAAAAGCAACGAGTGGCTTTGCGACAAGTGCACAACTCCCTGAGCGACAGCGCCTGCAAGAGCACGCAGGGACACGGCGGTCGCGAATACGGGCCGCTCAGCCGCGTCGGCAGGCAAAGAGGCGCGCGGCGACTGGGCCGAGACAGGCGCGCGCACATCGCAGGGCTGCCTTCGGCGCCACCCAGGGCACTTAGAGAGGGAGACTACTGGGCCGACCAGCGGGTCAGGAGCTCGCAAGACACGCGAAGAGTTCGCCCGAACATGCAAGTGCTCCAAACTTCTGCGCGAAAAAAAGCGTGGCCGATGTGCCGGCGCCACCTGGGCAGAAGGCCCAAGCGCGGGGGCACGCGCGCCCTCGCGCGCGCGGGCATCAGCGGAGACAGGCCCACACATGTTTCACAGAAGGGCGACTCCCCAGAATGCAAGCCCTCAGGAAGCCGCTCTGTCACTGGCGACGAAGCGCCGAACAGTCCTCCTCGAGCTTCCAACGCGGAGAAGCGGCACCCTGCAAGCCCGAAACAAGGCGCGCAGGGAGACAATGCCCCGCGAGGATCGCGCATGCCTGCGCCAGACCAAAAGAGGTAGGACACCGCCACCGAAGCCGGCTCGCGGTCGCGAGAGCGGTCGGCCTCCGACGAGTCGCGGCGAGGGCGCTCGAGCAGGCCCGCGGCTACGCGCGTGCCCTGGCGGCCAGAGCTGTTCTGTTGCGCGGAAAAAATCCGGGGAGGGTTGGCCGGGGGGGGGTTATCCTAAAGTTATGGCTTCCCCTTGGAAGGGGGGAGGAGGGGGAGGACGAGGACGAGGAGGACGAGGAGGACGAGGAGGACGAGGAGAAGGAATGTTTCGCGCAGGAGGACGAGGAGGGGAACGTTTCACGCAAACATCTGAAAATCGCGGGGGGGGGCGAAAACGACTGAAGCCAAACCACCAGGCCTCCTTTGCACCTGAAGCCGTTGTCCGGGGGGGGGTCCGGTTCCTCGCGGGGTTGTCCGAGGGGTGGTCTGGGCCATGCTGGCTTGCCAGCGCAAGTACCTGCTTTCCTCATCCCGAATCATCAGAAGCATGGCACAGCCAGTCAAGCCCAGCTGGAAAGGGCGCCTCTCTCCTCCTTCCCCTCTTGATTGTTCCTCCTCTCTCGCGTCCTCCCGCCCCCGCTCGCACATCCTCATTGATCGTTGTTTCACGAAGCGTGGCTGGCTGGAGTCGTGCAGCTGTAGAGGCTAGTTCCAGCCGCGGGACCAGCGCGCAGAGACATGCTCAAAATGTGGCGGTTGTCTTGCCACTTTCGCTTGAGACATCCTCGTGACGCTGGGCTCACGCATGCCCAGATCTGAGATGTTCCGGCCTGTTTCGCCTTCGACATCTTCACAAGTCTGGGCTTGGAGACGCCTCCCACGAGGTGGTCCGTTCTCGCAACCTTGGTCTCAGAGATGCCCTGACCGCAGGTGGTCCGCGAGAAGAGAGCCACAATACAGGGACAAGGCCTCTAATACAAGGACAAGGCCTTTCCCCCGCGCGTCGGATTCTCGAGGGGATTGTCTGGGGGGATGTCAACCGGGTTGTCCAGGGGGTTGTCCGGGGGTTGTCCAGGCGCAATCCTACCCAAGCCCTCTCTTGGGCCTCTTCGTTCTTCAGCCTTCAGCCTTCTCCTCATTCCTCAGCGTCCGGCCAGTTTCGCCTGAGACATCCTCGCAACTCTGGGCTGACCTGAGGTGGTCCAGCCAGGATCGCCAGAGGCATCCTCGCAACTCTGGGTTCAAAGATGCCACGCGAGAGGTCGTCAGCCCAGCTCCGCTTGAGACTTCCTCGCAACTTCGGGCTCAGGGATGCTGCGCGCGAGGTGGTCCAGCCAGTTTTGCTTCAGACGTCCTCGTAACGCTGGGCTCAGAGATGTCCTGACATGAGTTGATTTGGCCACGTTCCACGTTCCCCTGCGACATCCTCGCAACTCTGAGCTCGGGGATGGCATGTCCTGACCTGGGGTTGTCCAGCCTGTTTCGCCTGAGACATCCTCGAAACTATGGTATCTGAGATGCTGCGCGCGAGGTTGTCCAGCCAGTTTTGCCTGAGACAGCCTCGCAACTCTGCGCGCAAAGAGAGGAGGAGAAAAAAAAAAAAGAAACATAGAGGAGACGGACAAGGTGGATAAGGAGGAGGAAAGTGGGAGGAGAAAGAAGGGAAGAGGAGGAGAAGGAGGAGGAGGAGGAGGAGGAGGAGAAGGAGAGCATGAGGAAGAGGAGGAGGAGGAGGAGGAGGGGCGGAAAGGAAATGGGGATGAAAGAGCACCCACCGCCCGGCGCTTTGCCTGCCTCGAGCCAGGTCCCGCGGAGGGCCCACGGAGCATCGAGGTCCAGGCGGCGCCCCCTCCCAAGGCGAGGAGAGGAGGAGGAGGAGGAGGAGGAGGAGGAGGAGGAGGAAGAGGAGGAGGAGGAGGAGGGGGAGGAGGAGGAGGAGGAGCAGGAGGAGGAGGAGGAGGAGCAGGAAGAGGAGGAGGAGGAGGAGGAGGAGGAGGGGGAGGAGGAGGAAGAGGAGGAGGAAGAGGAGGCTCGAGGATCGGTGGTACTGGGGGCGTTGTGGGGCGTCGTGGAGTGCCCTCGTGGCCACGGCTGGGATGCCCTTGAGATCCTGGTCGGAGCGGACTCCGGAACGGATCTGAGGGACGATTTGCAAGAAGGGGGAGGGGGAGCAGGAGGGAACGAATGAAGGAACGAATGAATGAAGGAAGGAAGGAAGGAGAGAAGCAAGTAAGAAAGGAGGGAGGGGGGGTCATCGTCCATCGGCAGTAATTTGCACGAAGCTGTGCTCAGTCAAAATCGTCACGAACAGACAAAAGCGGGCAGCGCGGCGAACTCATCGCATCATAAGCGCCCGATCTCAGCACTGGAGCTAGGGAGGGCCACAGGCATTGCGAGTTTTGTCGCTGCAGCTTGACACCGCTCGGACGTGTGCCTGTTTTCTCGTTGAGGGCCATCGAGGAGCAGGTTGCGTCATCGTACGAAAGAACACACACACACACACACATTCCACACAACAAAAAAATGCACGTGGAGCGGACGCCCGAGCGATGGCGACGTGAGGCGAGGACGGCTCGGGGGCACCCGACGGAGTGGCGCCGACCCGGGCCGACGGGGGGCGACGGGAGCGAGCGAGAGGGGGGGCCGGGGTGGAGTGCACTGCGGGAGCTGCTTCTTTTCATTTCTGGCCTCGCCGATCGGCCTGGGACCCCGCGCCGTCCCCGCTCCCCCCCCCCCCGATAGAGCAGATCTTGGCTTCAGTCGGGCCTGTCCCTCTACAGGGGGGATGTTCAGAAATGGTCCAGAAATAGTCTGGGGACTATTTATTGGGTATGTTTGACCATTTGGGAGCATTTTTTAGTATTCTTTATTGTTCGTCGAAAATCCCCCTCTAGGGGGACACGCCCGACTTAAAAGAATCTTTGCTGCTCTCGGCGGCTGCTCGTGGCGACTGGTCGGAACCCCTCTCCCCCAGTCCGCCTGCGCGACTCGTAGAGGCAAATGTCGACGGAGCACCGGCCCAGGCCCCTCCCCTCCTCCCTCCCCCTTTGGCTTTGGCCAGAGGTCGAAACCCAGAATAAAAAAGAACGCCTCCGTGGAGTGCACCCACCCAGCGCGCACACTGAAGCTCTGAAACTCAGAAACTCCATGGACCGAGCGGCCATGCACAGAACGGAGAACGCATGCAAACAAGCGACGGACCGCCGACCAGGGGAAAGTCGTCGTCGTCGTCGTCGAAAGGCAGGCGGGGCGACACAGCGACGAGGAGACCCGGAGGCCTGCGCCGCGCTACGACGGCACAGAAGACGTGCGCGTTAAGAGCCACAGGGGCAGCAAGAGTTGGCCAGAGCGAGCAGGAAGGGAAGCCCGAGACCAGAAAAAGTGACAGAGGTGGTCGGCCAGTCGCAGATGGGAGGATAGAGGGAGGGGGGAAGGCTTCTTAGGAGCACCCCTGCTTCTTAGGAGGCGCGGGCCTCATCTATAGACGTAGGGCCCGCGCCTTCTAAGAGGCAGCCTCCTTCTAAGGAGCCTTCCCTCCTCCCCCTGTCCCCCCCTGCGCGCCGCCAGAGTGGGGCAGCGGGTACGACCCACGACAGGGAAGCGGCTAGCAGAGGCGAAGCCGACAGGCCGAGAACCGTGCGGCCGACACGACCTCTGGGACGGAGCGCAGGCGGAGGGCCACGCGCCCAAGGCCCAAGGCGGCCTTAACCCCCAGAGGGGGGCCCAGACCCGCGGGGGAACCAGGCAGCCGCCCCCCAGGGAAAGAGGGGAAGGGAGGAGAGAGAGAGAGAGAGGAAGACGGGGGGGAGGGGGAGGAGGGACAGGCGCTGGGAAAGGGAGTGAAGGAGAGGAAGAAGGGGCGGAGCCCCAATCCTCCCGAGGAGTCAGGAAAGGCCCCCCCGCCGGGGCAGAATGCCCCTCGGAGAGGGCCGCCACCGCCCACGCGAGCAGCTCGTAAGCGCTGCCGGGCGGCAACGGGAACCACGTGCCGTGAGCCCGTAGCTGACTCGCTGCACTTGCCTGGCCAAGGGCGAACACGACTTGCGTCACGTGCCGCAGTTCACGAACTGCATCACGTGCCGTAGTTCGCGAAGCGCGTCTCGTGCCGCAGTCCACGGCCACCCGTGCCACGGCGCCACGAACTGAACCACGCGCGCCGCAGCTCACGAACTGCTCGAGGACACAGGGAGCGCAAGGAGTGGCACAAGCTGCTCCCGGCCGACCGCAGGCACCCAGGGAGGGGGCGCAGGCGACGGGGATCATGGCTGAGCGCGGTCGGCCTGTGCGGACAGGCTGGCGCGCACAGGGTTGCTGCGCAGAGGAGGGCCGATGTCAAGAGTGGAGCGGAGGGCCACTTGTGCACGGAGCCTTGGAGACGAGGCGACGAGGAGGAGAAGGAGGAGAAGGCGTGGGATCCGGAACGGACTCGTGGGAGCGCTGTCGCTTCTGGCCATGACTTGCTGAGCAAGGGCTGGAGAGAGGGAGGAAGCATAGTAAGATAACTAACAAGTGAACTGAAGACGTGGGATGCGGAGAATATGGAGGAGGAAGAACAGGCGGAAGGGCGTGAAGGAGGAGGGGGAGGAGGAAGAGGAGAGGGGTGAGGAGGAGAAGGAGGAGGAGGAGAAGGAGGAGGAGGACCAGTGTAAAACCAAGAGTCATCAACGATGTTGGAATTAACCCTCCCTCCAAGACCCCTCTTCATAAGCCCCCACAACGGTTCATGCCCATTGGGGGAATTGCCTCGTTGGAAGAACCGTTTTAATATCCTGAAGCATGCCCAAGATTTCAACGCCACGTATCAACCTCACTGCGGCGTCTTGACGATCCGGAATCGCTCCAGGGCGCATTTTTGGGGACTTCAGAACCGCGAATCAACATAACTGTTGCACCCGCATAATCCTGAATCCTTCCAAAGCACCGCGAGAGCCACACTTTGGAAAGGAACCGCCCTCAATCCGTGAAACTCGTGCAATTTTCGAGAACGAATGCGCGCTGCGCTAAGGCGAGAGCCACATTTTGAAAACCGCCCGCCCTCAATCCGCAAAACTTCTGCAAAGTTTGACAGAGAATGCGCGCGGCGCTACGGCGAGAGCCACAGTTTGAAAACCACCCGCCCTCAATCCGTGAAGCTCTTGTAAAGTTTAAAACGAATGTGCGCGGCGCCGATACGAGAACCACGTTTTGAAAACGACCCGCCATCAATCCGTGAAATTTCTGCAAATGTTTAAAACTAATGTGCGCGGCGCTAAGGCGAGAGCCACATGTTGAAAACCACTCGCCTTCAATCCGTGAAGCTCTTGCCACTTATTAAGTTGCGGAGCCATCAATGGTGAGGGAGTCTCAGGCGAAACACCCGACCCGCCCTAAAAGCTGGCCTCGGGGTGCGACAGGGAGGAGTTATGTATACGGAGGAGGAATGGAGGAGGAGGAGGAGGAGGAGGAGGCGGACGTGTTCAGATTCCCCGTCCTCCTCGTAATCATACTCCTCCCCCCTCCTTCTCATCCCTCATCGCCCCTCCCTACTCTCACCCCCCCATCCACCTCCTTTCATCCTCGCCCTCTTGCCCCCCACCCCACTGCCCGTGGCTGGCCAAGCTGGCCCTGCTCCTCCTCAGTCTCCTTCCCTCTGTCTGGCCAGGTGGACCTGTCTCAGCCACTCGGGATCGGGTTCGACAAAGACAATGACAGGGGGCTTCGCCGCGGCCGCCTCCCTCCCAGTTTGCAATGCCTCTCGGAGGCATCCGTTGGGGAGAGATGATGCAGGGGAGGGGGGCTGGCGAGCAGAAGGCGGAACGGGAGGTAAGAGCGAGATAAGGGGTGTGAGACGGAGAATGATAGAGAGAGGGACTTGAGAAAGAGAGAGAGAGATAAACAAAACAATAGTTAGACAGAGAGAGAGGGAGAGAATGAGAATGAGAGAGATAGTGTGTGCATGTGGTACTGAAAGTGCTAGTGAAAGAGGGATGGAATTGGCGGCTGCGCTTCAGGAAAGGATGGAGGCAGTGAGAGAGCGAGGGAGAAAGAGAACGAGAGTGAGAGAGGGAGTGCCTCCACACGCTCCCCATCCCGCCTCCTCTCCCCAATCCTCGCCCCCGCTCTCCTACCCTTATTCCTTCCTCCCCCCCTCCATTCCCTTGCCATCATCTCGCCTCTCCGCTCGCATCCTCCACGCCCCCCCCCCCCCCTTACCCCTGCCGGGCCCCCATCCCTTCCAGTCCTCTGTGCCGCGGCCCCATCCCCTCCCCTCGCCCCAAGTCCTCCACCATCCCATCGCCCCCCACAGCCGCACGCGCTGGTGTGCTGGCTGAGCCTTGACGAACTGGACCTTCGCCTTGGGATGTCCCCTTGGCTGTGACGCATCGGTCTGCGCCCCCTCGCCCCCGCACCCTCCCCGCCACACTCTCCGCAGTCCACTCTGCAGCTGCGCCCTCCCTCCCTGCTCCCAGAAGGCCGCCTCCTCCTTCTCCTCCTCCTCCTCCTCCTTTTCCTCCTCCTCCTCCTTTTCCTCCTCCTCCTCCTCCTCCTCTTCCTCCTCCTCCTCCTCCTCCTCCTCCTCCTCCTCCTCCTCTTCTCCTTTTCCTTATGAACAATTTCTCCCTGTCGCACCCCGAGGTTTGTTTTTGGCGCGGGCCGGACGTTTCGCCTGAGACTTCCTCACCGTTGATGGCCTTGGAGCTTAAAAAGTGGCAACAGCTTCACGGGTTGAGGGCGGGTGGTTTTCAAAGTGTGGTTATCGCTTTAGCGCCGCGCACATTTGTTGCCAAATGTTGCAAGAGCTTCACGGATTGAGGGTGGGTCGTTTTTCAAAATGTGGTTCTCGTCTTGGCGCCGCGCAC